GCTGTGTATTGCACTGTTCCTCCTCAAGCTGCTTCTTCAATGCTATAACCTGCCTCTCCAAATCAGCACTCTTTGCCCTTCTTAGCTGGTGACTTCTGTTGGATAATGCGGAGTACCGCCCTTTCACAATGCAGCACCTGCTCCATTGCGACCTTTGACTTTCTTCTTTGGCTTCTTAGCAGCAGCGGCAGCCTTGGCAGCCGCGCGTTTGCCTGCAGACTCCATGTGTTGTTGTTGTTTTGTGTTGTGTGTGTTGTTGTTTGTTGTTGTGTTGTTGTTGTTGTTGTTGTTGTGTTGTTGTTGTTGTTGTTGTTGTTGTTGTTGTTGTTGTTGTTGTTGTTTTGTTGTTGTTGTTTGTTGTTGTTGTTGTTGTTGTTGTTGGTGTTGTTGTTGTTGTTGTTGTTGTTGTGTTGTGTTGTTGTTGTTGTTGTTGTTGTTGTTGTTGTGTTGTTGTTGTTATGTTGTTGTTGTTGTTGTTGGAAGTCCTTTGAGATGCAGCTGATAGACGACGAATTATCCCTACCTGCGTGAGAGTTTCGTCAAGGGAGTATCCGGTGACAGAGTGGAGCAGATTGTTGGTCGTTTTTGCGGTGCTTTTTGCGGCGTTTGGTTCCAGATGCACGAGACTGGGTTCCCGATTTGTGATGCTGGCTGGCTGTAGATTGGAGGCACTACCTTGGGAATCGGACAGACTGCTCACCGAAACTGACGTGCTGGGCTTCCGTTTCTTCTTGGTAGGTTTTGGTGAATCCTATCGTTGCATGCAAATCGTCTTCCTCGTCGTCGACACTGCTTGTTCCTCTTCTGATTCGTCCGCGTATTCTTCCGTATGCCCTCCAATACCTTGACTGTGCCTCCTCCGCAGTACCGTAGACTTCCGTTCGTCGTCTTCGCCCTCCGAAGCAGTCTTCTCCAATAGCTTTACACGCCAAGAGAGCCAAAGTCGACCAGTAGAAGGAAGATGACAACAGGAGGGAATGGTGGAAGAATGTAGTGTTAGCAAGGCAGAGCTTTCGCTTTTCAAAGGCAAACTGTCAAATAATGAGGTTGAATGGTGACACAACTCGAGGTATCACTGCGATTTGGATGAGGCCATACGACTGCTGGAGAGCTTTGCCATCGTGGGTCTCCACGGTTGGTGCATACATAAGCGATCTTGGAAGTGGATACTTAGCACCAAACACACGTGTAATCAGTGGGAGTAATGGTGAAAATGATAAAGAGGGAGTATCCAACGACCGAGCCGTCGGATGCACATGGATTGGATAATACACATACAGTACACGTACACGTACCTTCAGTCATTTTGCTCTCTTCTTTTCAGGTATTCGATATGCACCTTGAGGCCTTCGTCTGGGTGTTTCGCCATTGGCTCTATCGTTTCTAGTACTTGCGTTGGCATCGACAGTATGAAACTATGTCATTGTATTGCTCTCTGGTCGGAAGTTTGTTCCCCTTCCACCAGGGCGGAGCCCTCTTGCGCGCCATTCCAGCAGGATTTCGAATTGGATTTGTGACCTAAAGCTCACCATTCAGTAACCTATTTGACAGTACTATTAAGGAAAATTTAAAGTGAGGTGACATGCGTTGGCACGAGCCAGCGGTATATTAGTATTCATTGCTGTAGATATTTGTATATTGATTTTGGTTTCCTTTTAAGGAAGGTGTCACGAGTTACGAAATTTAAATATTGGCTGGCTCACCTCATTCATGTGTAAAAAGAAAGAACACACCGCACTCAGTTTGCCTACCACACTTAAGCATTGACCTAGCACATTTAAGGCACTACGTCGTCGAATTGGGCCTCTACCTTACCAAACAGCTTGCCGCCGCTCCCCGAACAGCGATTATCACTGTTACTGCTCTACAAAAAGCGAGGCGAATCGCTAAGCTCGGCATGGAAAGCCTACTCGAAACCAATTCAGTATCTTAAAAATAAGAGTGGTTAGTAGCCAAATTATGACATCTTATCTAGGTCATGAGGATCCTCCACCCAGGATGTGAATTCTTCCACCCATTCTGGCCGAGACTTGACCTGGAAATACCGTTTTCCTCCTTTGCAACCAATGTCAGGGACCACACACATTGGGGCAACAATAGCACCGACATCAGCTAGGTAGAACCTACGTGATTCCTTGTCCTTCTTCATTTTGACATCCTTGAAGAAAGGAATGAATAGGTCCGACATGGTGACTTCTGCAGGAGTAGCATCCCAATACGCACTCTCTACTACAGCATAGGTCTGGTTTTCCAGGCGGATTCCCCTATGCTCCAAATTGGATTCCTCTGGCAACCCTTCCAACTTCAGAAAGCACCAGATCTGTCCAGGAAGGTCGCCATACCCCCCTTCATCCGTGTCTCCCCAGAATATGATTGCCCAATCTCTCCATGGTCCAGTGCCTCGATAGTCAGGGTGGGCATGAAACACTTGGCCGTCCCTCCTGTGTTCTGTGTAGATTGGCAGCTCATACTGAGTTCTTGAAAGTCCATCGTCATTGCTGGAATCACTGGCGACACTTGGATTCAATGTGTCTTCCACTTTGTCCTGCAGCTCCAAGAGAAACTCCACAACCTCCTGACTGTACCTCTCAGTTGCCAAAGCTGGACTCCTTTTTGCTGCTTTAGTCCTTCCCTTGAAACCAATTGCTTTTGTTTCTTCATTGGCCCAGTAAACCTCCAACATTCTGCCTCCGGTCCAGGTTTTTGGCTCCGATTCATCTCCATCACTATACCTTCCTTCCTACCTACATTCGGCTCTGATTCATCTCCATCGCTACCTTTCTTCCTATCTGCATTCTCTGAGGCTTTTTCTGTCAGGATGAATAGAAGATGTTGGAAGAAGGTGGGAGCTGCTCCGTTGACTAGAAATGCCCTGCGCCATGAAAACGTCTGACATGAAGTTCCCGATGAGAGGGCGGCTTCTGTGCTTGCTGCAGCTGGCGAGGAAGAAGATCCAACTGGGAATATCGCCAAGCTCAAGAATCAGGAATTAATGAACAAGTTCTTTTGTGAGTTCCTGATTTCAAGTGGAATGGATGGTTCTCAATTGAGGATTGATGCTCCCAAGCGAAAGACCTTTTTTTGTGGGTGTCACTGATGCCCATTCACAAGCGCGGATAGATGGTATTAAGAATGCCAAAACCACAGGGCAGATGTACTATGTGACAGGTGGCCGGCACATGAATACCGATGAATTCTTCAAGGCAACCAAATTGAAAGAGCGCGATGAAACTGTAAAGGCTCTCCAAGATACCAAGAAGGCAAAGCTGTCTGCCTATGATGCAGAAGTGGCGGCGAATGCACTGCTTCAGGAGAGGGGAGTGTTCAATGTAGAGACTGGCAAGGCATTCACTGTCACCCAAATTAAGAATTTGTAGAAATGGCGGATTTGTCCCAAACCTGCATCTCAGCGAAAGCTGGACCTCATGATTGCTTGCTTGGCAGGAGAGGATCCACCCCCGGCGGTCCCATGGACAGAGGAAGAGGAAGCCGAGCTGGTGAAGGCAAAGGGCGTGGATATGGATATGAAAAATACTGCTTTGGCAAAGGCCGTGACACACAACATGGCGAATTTGGACCCCGAAACAAGGGCTGCACTCAAAGCTGCCATCCAAGCTTCCGAGTATGGTGAGCCTACCACTACTCCTGAGGTTGCAATGGCTGTGGCAGGTCCGTAAGGGCTTCGAAACAGCGGGTTTTTTGTCATCGTGGAACTGTTTTGTGTTTGTTGTTTCTGTTTTCCGATTTGTGTCAGCTCAGTCACTAGAGAGTGGGATCGAAAAGAGGTGGTTGTGAGCCGTTCATTAACTCTAAAAATTTACATTCCGTTAACTCAATAAGCAACAACCCCATGTCACAATTAGGGATTTACAAGGCATTTTCGAAAGTGAATTGTGAGCTGCTAATAGTACGTAGACATTGTACCACAACCCATGAGTAAATCCATTAACTCGCTTCAAAAACTAGTACTACGAAGTTCGGTACTGGTACGATACTGTGGTATCTAGCTGTTTCAATAGCCTTGGCTGGCTTCTGTGGCTTCCATTTAATTTTGCAATCCAGACTGCCAGCGCCTTGGGACTGCAACTCCGTCTACTCCTTGTCGCGTCATGGGTTTGCTTCGGGCCTTCATAAGTCATTTGTTGCATGGATTCTATCTTGATATATTCGTTGACATTTTGTTAGAGCGGTTGTTGAAACTTGTTGGGGCTGCCGGCAGGAAAGTGCCGAGCTGGCCTTCTAAGGAGTATCGTGTGATACGTTCAGGTTCCACCCAGGTTCCGATGTGTTGGTAATAAACACGTTTTCCCACGAATGCAAAACGGATGCCTCCTGGCCGAGCTCCATTCGCACCTCACAATGCTGCTGTCGTCAGCAATCGCGGGATAGATCTAGGTTACGGGACAGTAAAAGCATGTAGGACCACAACCAGAGGAAGCAGCTAGCAACGGGTAGCATTTAGGCCTGCAGCCAATCATCGATGGGCCTTCCTCTTACCGCTTTTACTGTTATCTTCCTCTCTACTAGCTATGATAGGATAGCTAGCTAGATCGAGCTTATTGGAGCAATCCAGAAGAACGTGCTGCTTTTATTGCTGCCTGCTGGCCAGCTGCCAGCAAAGAAAGAAAAAGAGAGAGAGGTATCTTCGCCCCTCTGTCGTCCATCAGCCGGCAAAGAGCTCATCCATCGCCGCCCCTTCCTAGTCTAGCTACATGATACAGTACTATTATTAGCAAGCTGACAGCTAGCTTCTAAAGGTAGACTACAGTAGCCAATCTGTGTCACCGGTTGCTTTTCGTGGATCTTCCAAGGGTCATTGCCTGGACCTTTTGGGGTTTAGGAGCTACTGGTCGTCATTGATTGAGTCCCATCCTCCAATCAAAAAGGCGAAGCATTTGGCACTTTCGAGCTACAATAGATTTTATTGGTTTCAGAGCTCTGGCTAAGACTGCATACGTACAGGGGTCTACGAGTTCCTACGTAGATCGCTTCGCTCAATCCATTGGCCGGCTCCTGACCAGCACTCCTTTTCGTCCACTAATAACCTCCTTTGGCCTCTCATCTCAGTCGTTAGCGGTCGGTTTGTTTGAGGTTCATTTTCGCCCTCAGCCACAACTAACTGTACAGTTGCAGAAAAACCATTGGAAGACGACGAAGAAAGGAAATAAACATTGGTTGACTTCCGCCGTCCCCGAAGAAGATCGAGTTGGTTCTCTCTCTCCACCAGTTGGAGTTGTGCTATTGATTGTGGATGCCAGATAGAAGGGAGTTGTTGAGTGGTAGCAACCAACAGCAAGACAGCAATTTCGTTGTTGTTTCCGCTTTCGTGTGTTTGTGACTCGCCGCATGAGTGCGCAGCCTTCTTCCAAGCCGACGTCTCCTGTGAATTCGTCGTCAGGCCTGGAAAGTCGCAATGCGTCTGGGAATTCGCCGGATGCCGCAACTCAGGGAGAAATGATCGATTCGCTTGGCGTGGCCTTGGCAGGAGTCAACCTTTCTTCCTCTGGAAAGCCGTCCTCTTCCAATGGAGGGCTCTTTTCCAGCAGTAATGATTCGGCTTCGCCTTTTTCCATGGGAACCGGTCCTACGCAGCCGGAAAGTGAGTTGGGATGGGCGTCGACTTTTTCCGATGCCTCCAAGTCGGCCTTTTCGGGATCGGCGGCTCCTCCTGCCCCAGCGGATCTGGGACAGGAAGCGCACGTCAAGGAGAGCTTGGATCTGTTCCTATCGCAGAGTCCGTCGCAGACTTTGGGAGACGATGTCTTTAAATTGAGCACCACGAATCTTCCTGCTCTCGCTTTGTCGGAAGGCGATCGACGTCCCAATGGCGAAAGCAGTCCTTTTGGATTTGGAAACAATGGAGGCTCCAACCAGCATAATGGACATGGACCTTCCCTCTCTAATAATGCGGCTCCAGCTCCCAGCGGTGTCTTTGGTGATATGCATCGCGTGCCTGAACCTAGAGCTAGGAGAAATGACTCGCCCTCGGTCACTGGGACCACTGCTTCCAGTAGGTCCGCATCACCGTATGCCAATCATAACGCGAACAGCTCGGAGGCAAGAGGTGGTTCAATCCCAGCTTTTCGCTATGACAACTCATCCGGCGGACGCGTTGGTAGTGGAGGAGACCTGCTTGTCCATCGTCAGGCTTCCTATGGCGAAGATGACAGGCAGAGTCAAGTCCACAACATGTCCCACGGGTACAGTTCGCATCCTAATATTCCTGCCCTAGATAATAGAGGTCCTCCCTCTCAGCAGCGCTTTGGAAGTCAAAGTGGTTCTTCCAAGAATCTATTTGGCACTGTCGGCGCGGGCAGTCCTTACGAAAAGGATAGAAACTACCCTGGACAGCGCATCGAGCCGCCTCCTCCCCCTCCTTCCCAGCACGTGGCCCAGAGTCCTCAGCAGCAGCAGGCTCAGCCACAGCCTCAGGTCCTCTACATGGCCGTGCCAACACCGGATGGCAGGGGTCAAGTGCTCCAGCCTGTGCAAATGTTGCAAGTCCAAGGCAAGGGGTTCACCTACGTTGTCCCTCAGGGTGTCAACCAGGCATCACTCAATGGAGCGATGGCAATGCTCCCTCCATTGCAGAACAACCACGAGAACGGCAATGGGCTGATTGGAAACGAACAGAGGAACCCGACAGGTGACTACAGGAACAACAAGAGTTACTCCTTAGATGTCATGAAACAGGATGACTACAACGGCATGTCCAAGGGCGGCGGCAAGTACAACATGACGGCGGGTGGACACCAAGATCCGGCTTCCTCGCTCTACGCTACTACGCAGCGCCCCCCTCTTGACGCATTGCTTGGGCAGGTACGTCGTCTCTCTAGGGACCAAGTTGGCTGTCGTTTGGTTCAGCAAGCCTTGGACGAGGAAGGTGCCATGGCAGCTACCCTCATCCTGAACGAAGGATTGCCCTTTTGGTCCGAGGCAATGGTGGATCCCTTTGGCAACTACTTGTTCCAAAAGATCTTGGAGAAGATCACTGCCGAAGAAAGGATCATGTTGGTCAAGACTGTGAGCTCTCGTCTTGTCAATGCAAGTCTTAACCTTCATGGTACTAGAAGTGTCCAGAAGATTGTCGAACTGTGTGCGGCGGATGAAGACGCTGGATTCAACTCCGAGACGCAAGATGAGTCGGCAGCAGATATTCTGACTCGTTCCCTCTTCCCGGCTGCGGCTCGTTTGTGCATTGACAGTCATGGCAATCATGTCATTCAGAGAATCCTTCTCAAGCTCGGATCGAAGCACACCAAGTTTGTCTTTGATGCTGTCGCGGCCAGCGTTGGGGACGTTGCTCGTCATCGTCATGGATGCTGTGTCATTCAGCGTTGTTTGGACTCTCCAGTGGGCGAGGCAAGATCTCACTTGGTGAACCGCATTGTCGAGAAGTCTCTTGAGCTCATGCAGGACGCTTACGGTAACTATGTGGTGCAGTATGTTTTGGATGTCTGCTCGGATGAAGATGTCCATGCTGTCTGCGAGAGTGTGATCGGCAAGGTCAACTTGTTGGCGATCCAGAAGTTCAGTTCGAATGTCATGGAGAAGTGCCTCGAGCGGTGCACTGATTCCGTCAAGGAGATGTACATGCAGGAACTGAGCGACCCTGAACGAGTCAGGGAATTGATGATGGACCCTTTCGGAAACTATGTGGTGCAGCGTGCTCTATCGGTGGCAACTCATTCCCAGGCTATTCGACTTGTGGAAGCGATGAGGCCACATTTGGTATCCACTCAACCAGGTTTCCCGAACGGTCAACGCAGCGGGGGAGTTCGAAACACTGCTGGAGGGAGGAGAATCATGGCCAAGATCTGCCGTCGTTTCCCCAACTTCACCCTCAGCGCAGTGGGTTCACAAGATGAACTTTTCAGCCAAAGCAAAAACCAGCACCGTCAAGCTGCGAATAGCTTTGGTGCACCTGGTCACCATGGATTGGCGACCTACGCGCCCATGCCTGGTGGCCACCGAGTGCAACACTACAACGGGGATCCGGGCGCTATCGCTGGTCCACACCTTGTGATGAATCAGCAGCAAGCCTACTACGACACCGGAAATGTCAACGTTGGCTATTTCGACCATACTTTCACCGACCACGCTTTCGGTGGTCCGGCCTACGGAGGCCAAAACTACGGCGGTTTCCCAAACATGTAAGAGACGTCCGCGCCCGAGACGTCTCTGGTTCTGTTAAAGTACTCTTGGGAGCCGGTTTTGTATTCGGGTGGTACGTTCTTGTATTGTTAGAAATGAATTACTGCGTTGTCGCAAGTACAGCGCTATGTCTACGATATTTCATTGTTTCAGCTACGAAAGAGAGAAGCAAAAATTGTTAAAAAAACCAAAAAAGAAGAAATAGAAGGGAAGTGTTGGCGGCACCTCATGTCGCTGATGCATCACTAGAAGAAGAACAACAACCAACCAACAGGGAACTAATAATGTATTAAGATGTTTCTTTCATAATGCTGCTTTGCTGCCAGTATCTTAGCAAGCAACCTGTTCCTCAGCAATGTAGGACACCAGGGAACATGTGATCTTATCGCCAAAAATACTCTGGAGCTTCATTGCTACGGTGGATCCGCAACCACCTATACCAACATGATGATGTCAGTATCTCTGGACCCTTGTTTTAAAATTCAACCAAGGTGCGCGAGGCAGAATGAATAATTTTTAAGATGAAAAATTAATTACACAGGTCCGATGGCAAAGCGTTCTTCGCCCCATAGCTGGTCGTCTGTGTTCAGATACTGTTCCATCTTCACCAAGACTAGACTCGCAGTGTTGTTATCCTCGGTTGCGGGGATTTCTCCGGTCGACAACTCTAGTTCTTCCTGTACCGCTGCCACACTCATTTCTTCAATACGACGACTCACTGCTTTGTGGTCGACTGGTTCTGGTAGTAGTGCGGGCTGGGTTGCATGCTCTTCTTCGGCGGGTTTCCGAGCCAGTCCTTTCCCGGCCGTCAGGAACGTCATGGGTGTCGTGTCAGGGTGCCCTGGACAGGGTAGTCGATCAATCACCAGACGACCACCCCGTCCCACACGAGGACGATGCCTAAATCGGTGCGTTGGCAGGGCATGCGATTCGACATAACTCGTCACATGTGGCACGGCCCTGTTCCACGACGTGACAAAGGTTTCCCTCGTGGGTAGAGGATCCAAAAAGCTGGGGGCGGGTTGTCCAAAATTGTGACCGGCCACAATCCGTGGAGCGGCATCCGATGCGGCAGCAGTGCCCGTCAATGCCGAGGTGGAATCCGTCTTGTTGTTGTTATTATTGCTGCTGTTGCCAGTGCCAGCGGCGACAGGCGGCGTGGGAGACACGCTGCGAGACCCAGTCGCCTTATTTCGCCCTCGTTTACCCTTTTTGTTTCCCGTTTGAGTATCAAAGTAGGTTGGAACGGTCAGGACGGCGTCAATTTCTCGCTTTTTGACCTTGGCATTTCTCCGCGGTTTGCCACTGGTATCCATAATGTCAAACAATTTCTGGTCAAACCATTCGCACTGCATTTGAACTTGTGCCCGATACACTTCCTCTCGCTTTCGCACCAGATCCAGCACCATTCGCAGCCCATCAAAGTCATTTCTCAACTGCTTCATTTTGTTGAAACTGAGCATATCGTTGCGTCTTGTTTTGCGCAACTTGTACTTTTCCTTTTCTCGTGGACGAAATACGAAATGAGGATTGGTATCATCGGTGGACGTGACGGGCCAATATCGTCGCAACAAGGGTCGTTTGAGTTTGGATCGTTTGTTGACCCAGTAATTGTATACTTCCGCGACCACCTGTTTGGACGTGACAATGCCCACCGTCCGACGAGTCAAGGATGGTGGGAATATCTGTGTGAATTGTGGTACTTTTTCCTGAATGAGTTGTTCTGCCTGCGATGTGGAGACGATGATATCAAATCCAGTGGCCTTTTCCAGGACATCCATAATGTGTTCCAACATGTACAGGGTAAGTTGTTGTTGTCTTGTGGATGGTTGTGTGGTTTCGGCATCCTCCTTGTTAGCATCCAGTGTCGCAGTATTCAACAACAAACTAGTGCTGTCATTGAGTTTGCTCGGGTCTTCACTCTTTTTGGTATCACCGTCTTCTCCTCCTTCAGTAATCACGGCCACACTGGCTCCTCCAAACTTGGTATTGTTGGCCAACCATGTTTCGTCTTCCGTGTCGGCAACGTATTCAATAGCTTGCATCCACTCTGCCCTGGAGGGTCTATGATAGCGTACGTAGGATGATTTGATGTCGTAATTGTCGGGAACATCCTTATCGTAGCTCTCGACCATTTTAATCTGTGGCACGGGAATCTCAATCTTGGCCTTGTTGGCAGTCAATGCGGGAGCCTAATTGCATTTTAAAAACATAGAGTGAGCAGATAATACAGATAGATACACTTCCATCCACATTGTCTTGTGGGTACTGTTTGTAGCCAAAGTAACTCACCGCAGTGGAAGCCGCATGGCCCAGATCAGATACCGTGCGGACATTTCCATCCGCATCTTCATAGTTGAGTGAATCCGTTTCTTTACGAATCACAGCCACTTTCTTGTATACATTCAACGCTGCCACGGCCTTCATCTTGGACAACAATTATGAATAAGCACCATCAATTTATTGACAAAAAGGGTGTGTTGCATGGAGTGGATTATAGCATTGTGAAATGTGGTTGGTTGGTGTTGGCTGCAACACAACAGTCAATTGGGCGCCGTTGTTTTCCTTTGGTTAGTCATGAAAGGGACTGGACGCCAGCCAGGGAGAACTCGTCGAATACTTATGCCCTTTCACAAGGGACCAAGATTTCCAAGAATCAGTTTCCATTTTGCACGTGGGCAGCTTTCGCCCGCCCTTCGGTGTGTCTTTCGTTCGATCAGCATTGCAGCTGCCGCACTGCATGCATGCCAATTGACAATCCGGACGAAGAACCAAACATAGCTACGCGACAGATTGATGTCTCTGAGACACAAATTTGGCCTCTGCCGAAGCAGTTCAGCCATCTAGCTAGCTAGCGAGAGCTCTACCGGTAGGTGCATGCCTTATGAAGGATCAAGGGCGAGGCAGAAAGATCGAACTGTCAGTCCACCGGTACCGTCGAATCGAATCGAATCCAGCTAGTAGTCAAGGCCAGCCGAAGCAAGCAACCAATCCATACTCGTACCTTTGATCATCCAGGAACATCTGCTGATCAAGCAAGATGGACGACGACATTGAGAATGCCCTGACCAGCCGACACCATTTGCACCATCTCTCCACGGTTCACGAAGAGCTGAGCCCATTGGACCTGGACCTGTCGGATTCCTTGAGTGGACACGATGAGAACGTTGCGTATGCCCGCCATCCCAATGGGCCTCTCACATCCCAGCAGGTGCCATCACTGTCACCTCCTGGAGCTGCAACTACTACCAGTAGTGATGGTAACCCAATCAACTACAATTCAAGGCCCTCGCAGGATGCACTGATACCGGACGCCGACAATAATGAATACACGGAACCCATGAATTTACCGGACATTAGTGAAAGTAACAATGAGGTGTCTGGGGGGAATACACTGGCGGATTTACTTTCGACCGACAACAATAATATTGAGGAGAACAACACGAACAGCCGAAGAAGACAAGACAGTTTTCGAGGCTCCGGCAATCGAGGTCTGTATCGAAGACCGGCGCGGCAGGATGTCAAGAGAGAGTCCATCAAAAAGGAACACGGACAACATGTTTCGGTAAGCAAACCTACCTATGGCAAACAGACAGCCTGTTTGACCTTACTCAATCAATCCACTTGTAAAACTTTCGTCTCACCTTGTCTTTCAACCCTTTCTCTCCCCATTTCCATCATCATATCCTGTCATCTTGTTGCTCTTGTCTGGCGTACATAGATGGTCACAGGATCCATGCGAAATGCCATGGATGAAAAGGTCCGTCGAAGAGAACGATTCAAGAAACAAATCAACAATCTATTTCGCAGCAAGGATAGCGACGATGAAGACGACGAAGAGGGGATTGGTGGCACCAAAATTTCCATGCACGGAAGACTCATGGTGCAGCCATCACGACGACACCTAGTCATTCCACCCAGTAGCAGTGCGGAAAGTGGAGGAAAGACACAAGAAGAATACGATGAAGAAGAGGCAGCCGAACGAAAACGGGAAGAAACACAATACAGACTCACCACTGTCAAGGGGGTAAGTTTGTTAACACAACAACGCAGCACAAGACAGCAACAACCTACTTGCCATTGCAGTTCGCTCACGGGTCCTTCCTTCCTTCTGCTGCATGCAGAAACGACGAAATGCCCTGACAGTCAAGGGAATGTACGAGGATCTTACCAAGGGGGAGGGCGACACTTGCGACACGTGTTTTTGCTGCTTTTTGTGTTGTCAAGGGAGTTCCAGTGAACGATTCATGTCGGCGTTTTTGCATTGGGCATTTCGGAGTCCTTTCGTTGTCGTCTTTGGGACGGCCGCAATTGGATGGATTGCCATGACATTTCTATTCGCCTTTGTCATTTGGGTTATTGGGGCGTTCAAACCGCATTGCATTGGGGGTGTCGATTTTGCATTGTCTCCTGGACGCTTTATGGATGCCTATCAACTCAGTTGGACGACCTTTAGTACTGTGGTACGTAATTCATGTTTGCAGGAGGGATTTGCCTTCGACTAGCTAGGACCTGAAGAAGCTTGCATGCTCAGTTAGTGGTGTGACCTTTTATCATGCTTCTAAAGGGCTACGGACTGATATATCCTGCAACGTCGGCAAATCACCACAACATCAAAAATTGCACTGAAATCACGATCCTGGCAACATTTGAATCTTTTGTGGGTGTGCTTTTCTCTTCCCTTTGTGCTGCCCTTATGTTTGCCAAAGTGGCAAGAGTACAGAGTTTCGCACAGGTTACCTTCAGTGACCCCATGGTCATTCGTTTCGGCGATGGAGTCAATCCAGATGATAACGATCTGGATGCATCCGACGACGAAGACGACGCGATCAGTAATCGATCTGGCGGCAGCAACAATAAACCAAAAAAGAAACATTCGTCCGACCATCGGATTCCTTGCCCCGTTTTGGAATTTCGAATCTTCAATCGGATGGATTCCATTCCAGGAGGCGAAATTATTGACGCAACACTCAACATGGTAGCGGTTATTGACCCTTCTCAGGCAGACATGTCGTTGGCAGGCAAACGTGGACGCCGAAAGAGAGGGAAGAAAAAGAGGGGCCCAATGAAGCAGCAAAAAACTCTTTCGATGCGGTTCATGGACGATGACAACGACGCGGATGACGACGCAGATGAAAACGACGATGGAGGAGTACCAAAAACCGACTCGATGAATTCAGAGGCCTCTTCACCAACAACACAAAACAATGCTTCTCCCCCGCCACCGCCACCGGAAGAAACGTCTCCGGTACTCTCCAAACCAAGCATAGTTACGTTTCAACAATCCACTGCTGAGAGGGGCACCTCCCTTCCCTTGCGAGGCCCTGCACCAGCGCTCACCAGGCGAGGGACAACCGAGAGCATCCCACAACGAGCACCACCTCCATCACTCACTAGACGCGGGACAAGCGAAGGCATCCCGCCGCGAGAGCGGACCCCCCCTCCACCACTCACCAGACTCGGGACAAGCGAAGATGTCCATTCGCACCGAGCAATGCACCCACTGCACCAGCATACGCACCCACAACAAGTTCTCCCGCAACCCCAGCTTCGCCCCACTCAAAGCTTGGGGTCGCGTACCGGAACTGTACGCCGCACGCGTCCCCAAAATGGATACAGTAGCTTGCGAGGATCGAATACCAGCAGTTTTGGTCGCCAAAGCATCATGGACCGATTCAAGGCAAGACTGCATCGACACGATTCGAATCAATCCACTGGCAGCAATTTTGGCTCTCCAAGCAGCTTGAATCACCCAAACAGCTTGAATAATGTTTCGACAAGGACAGGGAACAGGACTTTACAAGCCTTCGACGAAGACCCGACCGGAAAGCTAGTCGCGAAACAAATGCTCTGCAAATTGGATCTAGACTCGCCCGACCATCCCTTCTTTCGACGCATCTGGCTTGTGAGACACACTCTGGATCTCAATTCGCTTCTTCTGAAACCACATGTGCGGGTATTGCTGCGAAAGAATCACGGATACTGGCCCAAAGAACTCAACAACTACGAGAGTATTAGGGCTAGCATTGATTTTGACCAAATTTTGGTGAGCCTGTCCGGGACGTCCAATGCTGATGCAAACTCGGTGTACGCTCAGCACGTGTACAATATGATTGATGTGAATGTTGGCTACCGTTTTGTCAATGCTCTATACCGCGACCCTAATGATGGCAGCTTGCGTGTAGACCAGACATTGATCAATGATGTAATGGAGCAAGCAGGCGGAGGTGGTGAACCCTTTCAGGATTTTGACGAGGAGAACTTCCGTGAGATGCTAGTATTGTAGATTGGTTGGAGAGCCTACCGGTATTGCAGGGCGTCTAGCTAGCTAGTAAATGATGTTCAGTTCTCAGTTTTTGCGCCAACGCCAACATTAGGGCGCAGAAATTGGACGCTGCAGCCACTGGTATCGAGGTGGCAATCTTGCGGCTGATCCATCTACCGAACGGCTCTACCGTACCAGGCAGTACTGCCTGGAAGCTGCTGCAAGGATGCTGTACTGTACCGCGGTACGGTACTGTAAAGGTATCTGCTCCCCATGAAACTGGGAATACAACCGTGTACATGGAGTACCAGGCTCTACGTGTTACCCTGTCTTTCCTTATGTTTGTGGGTGTTTCTACCTTTCTCGACCTTCCAAGCTGACTGGAACATCCAACGACGACCGACTGGCTCGCTGGAACATCGACACTGGTATGAACGAAGTTTTTTGACCATCGCCATCCAAGGGTTTGCTGTCACACCCGCCTCCTGTTGGTTTGAGCCTCGTGAAGAGCCCAAGCTACTAGCTAGCAGATGATCCAAGGAAGAAACAATTGATTGATTGATTGGTTCACTAGTAGTTAGCCTGAGCAAGATGAATTGCACGACGGTGGATTGTGCCGAGGAAGACGGCTACGTCCTCGAGGAATGCAATGGCAATGGCGAATTTGGAGGTAGCTCAGTGGAGCAATATGAGAATTGGAACTCTCGGAAACTTGCCGATTATGTTGAGCAATTTGGATTGAAGAACTACGGCTCGATGATTGTTACTCACAAGATTACTGGCAAGGTGGCTCCACTGTTGACGGACTCGGATTTGAAGGAAATGGGCATGACGGTCGTTGGTGATCGCCTTCGATTCAAGCAACTGATTTTGCAACTGGGAAGAAAGGCACGATATGTCTCCCGAGACAAACCGATATGGCGAGGCGAAGAGCAAAGATACTACTCGATAGTGGAGAAGGAACTATCAACTTGCTTTGGTATCTTTCCGGATGGTGAGTATCAGGATCCGACGAGGCTCATCCGCGACAGTGTTGGCTGTCAAACCAATCTGCCATTGCTTCATGTACGCTGATATTACTTGCCTTCCTTGCTTTTGTCTTGCCTTCTTGTGTGTCATAGATCCAACCACCTACAAGCTCTTGGATAGTTCCATCAAAATCAAACGTGTCGAGCCTACGAAAGTCGGCCCAGTAAGACTGTTCTGTTGCTATGAATACAGCATGAAGAATATCGACCTTGCCAGGGTGAAGGACGTGGAGGTGTTGAATGTAGCTGCCCCATGCCCCCAGAGGGTTATGTGCTGTGCGCAAGGTTTTGATTTGGTTGAGCTTCATCCAACGGAAAGCTCCTATGGGAAACTAGTGCTGAAGCTTGGGTGTGGAGATGGAGAGAAAGTATGCAGGATGATTCTGACTCAGGTGGAAAAGAACCAGATTATTGAGCGTGAATAGACGAAGGAGTGGTGGTGGAGAGACTTGTTTTTAATCCTTATTTAGATGTATACACATATCGTTACAAGAGCTTTCTAGAGTGCACGATTTTCAGGCTAGTACGCGGACATCCATAACCTGTCAGTGGTGACATTGTTTCGTCAAAGCTTTTGTGTTTTTCTGACGGAAAACATGTCGAACTGTCGAAGGGGCAGCCTCTCGCAGGTGCTTGTTGTGACACGGCGTTCATCAAAGGGTTTGGCATCTCGAAAGAAATGTGATCTCATGGTCAGACATTGGACCACGAATGACGAGCTCAGTTCACTGTCAACATCTACTCCGTCCAAAGATGTGTACCGAAGGAACGGATCTTCCATCTGAGATATCGTTTCAAACAGCGCTGTCAGTGCCAGGGAGGTCAAAACAGAAAATGCAATACCCATTCCCAGAGATCCAAGACTACGAGCAATCCTGTGTTTAGGTAAGACGAAAAGAGAAGGATTGAGGGTCAAGCAAAGTTGGCAAACCATACCGGTACACGAGGAGTATTTTCGATTGTTGAAGCAGACTCACTCTGCATAGAATGGGGCATAGAAAGGTGGTAGGAGCACCGTGAACAATCGTGCAAAACTCCTTAAGGCTTGTGGCGTTCGATAGACCTTGATCATGCGTAGACCGTCACAATTTTCCAACACCATCCGTTCCCACTGCCGAATCCGAGTCGCTTCATTGGGAGGGAGACCCTCCGACTTGAGTATTTCACACAAATCAGTCAACCTGCCCAATCGGACCAGTAAACACCCGTACAGCTTTGACGACAACGCCAGAGTTTGATGGGCCTCCTTTCGCCCCTGCGTCGTAATCCGATGACGAGCGCGGGTCGCATTCGGGAGAGTGAGGAAACGACCAAGAACATGGCAAATGCCCAGTATTTCCACCAGGGCGGCATCAGCATGATCCAACCAGGATGTCATGGTCGTGGAGGCTTTTCGTCCTGTTGAATCTTCCTTCCCGATCTTTTTCCAATCCCAAGAGGCATGAGCGGCGTACAGATGGATCATGGTGGCACGAATCGATGCAATGTGCTTCAGTGCCGCTTCACGACGTCCAAAGGACATTGATATGGAGGCCGACAAGGGCGTAATGACAGCAAAGGACAGCAGTACCCAATCCAAGGTGGACCCATCAAAAGACGGGTTGTCGTCGGTTCGGTAGTAGGTGAATACCGTAAAGCCCACACTAAATAGAATGGCTAGCATCGATTCCATAGAGATGAGGTGCACAATAAATACCATCAGCGCCGAATACCCATTCACCGCAGTCAGCCATGCTACATTGTGTGCTGCCTCCATTCTCACTTTCTTTTCTTCGTCTTCAAACCTTCCCTGATCCGATGTTCCCCGACAGCTTTCTGGAAGATCCGAAATACCATGCTTCAATGCACTTTTACCAAATCTCATATGTTGCTGTTGATTGGCACCGAATGCCTCGGACTCATCAATCGCTTCTGAACCTCTTCCAGCTGCGGTAGCAGCAGAAGCATCAGTCATGTGTGGGGTAGGGTCATTATTGTCCCGTTGTTGTGGAGGTGTGTCTGGTGTTGCTACCACCTCTTGTCCTTTCTCAGCGGCAGCAGCTGTGTTGGGATTCTGAGAATCCACATTTTTCTGCTCGTGGTTGATATAGATTGGTGTGTCATCGTCGATTCGGACTTCATAGTTTGGAGATGATGGGAAGGCCGCCCCTGGCGGAGGGTCAGTGTTTGATTCCGTGTTTCCCATCTCCAAAACCTTGGCGAATGTCAGCAAAACGGAATCACAGGCTGATAGTGGTACCTTGGATATGGATACGAGCTAGCTAGTAACATTGATATCAGCTTGTCAACTTCATTGTACTTTCACCCCTGCTGTACCTGCCCAATCATCATGGTCGGAAGCCTTTTCTCGGCTTCATTATTCATTCGCGTCCATCATCATGCGTCCCATTTTTCCGAAGCCCGCAATCCTGTTGAGCTGCGGGAAGACCATTGGACCGGTCACTGGCTACCTGGTACTGGTACTATGATAATAACAGTGGATTGCCAACCGTGGGCATTAAATTTGTTAATTTCCTTACCCGGGTACAAGTACACGACGACGTAGAACGGCGACTCTTCTTGCAGGCTGCTCGCATACCGCCCGGTACCGGTCCCTGGTACGGGTACCTGTTCGGATGCGGAGTACATGTACTTGGTTCTGGCAAAGATTGTGGCCATGGCAGTCCTACCAGAAAGACTTGAGACGTCGACATACCCCGGAGTAGTTCCTGAGCAAAGAGAGCAAGCGAAGGTAGACCCACTTCGCTCCGTCCGAGTAATTGAATACTTGGGGGAGGTTGTGATTTCTGATTGAACCTTCCAAGCTTCCAAGTAAACTTTAGTCTAGTCTAGCTAGCAGACATTTTTCCTCTGGCCTGCTAGTACAACGTGTAGAACTCCTACCGGTACACGTACTGCCTACTGTTACTAATGATAAACCTCGGCAGTCTATCTGCCTGAGCCCTCACCCCCTTTTACCTCGGCAGGTAAACTGCCTGAGTTCTCAACCCCTTTAATGCTATTTCCTATTTCCTATTTCCTATTTCCTATTTCCTATTCCGGTGAAGCCAAAGCATAAGGATAGAGATAGTCATAAGCCAACAAAACTGAACATTGATGGTTCAATACAAGTTAGGGGTAGGAATAAATCATTAATATTTACGGTTAGTGCAATCAGCACAACAGCACAATAAGCCAGCAGGAGCTGTAAAGGTTAGAGTTACAATAAGGGAATGGCAGCTGGTAAATTATAGAGTAGCGGGCGGCAACACACGACGTAGTCGGGTGTTGTCGCCAGGGCTAGCTTAATAAAAAGAAGGTTGCAATGCAGGAATGAATGATACCGGGCGGCAACACACGACGTAGTCGGGTGTTGTCGCCAGGGCTAGCTTGAAAGATGTGTGCAATCGGAACATGATTCTCCTTCTTCTATCTGTCTTTCTGCCGAGGTATCGCAGCTCCCGCTGACTTATTGGTATTTCCTGTTTCCTGTTTCCTGCTTCCTGCTTCCTGTTTCCTGTTCCGGTGAAGCCAAAATATAGGGATAGAGATAGGCACAAGCCAACTCTACAAATTTAGGGGTAGGAATAAATCATGGATATTCAACGTTAGTGCACTCAACACAATAAGCCAGCAGAAGCTACAAAAGTTACAGGTACATACCGGAGTGACAGCTGTAAAATTATGGTTAGCGGGCGGCAACACACGACGAAGTCGGGTGTTGTCGCCAGGGCTAGCTTAAATAAAAAAGAAGATTACAATGAGGGAATGATACCGGGCGGCAACACACGACGAAGTCGGGTGTTGTCGCCAGGGCTAGCTTGAAAGAAGAGTGCAATCTCAAACATGTCATCCTTCTTCTATCTGTCTTTCTGCCGAGGTATCGCAGCTCCCGCTGACTTATAAAAAATGTGAGGGCAAAGTTTACCCTATTGAGCCAAGCCTACTTTCTGGTCAAAGGCCTTGGACACACTGCCTCGAACGAACCATGAGTGTGGATACTATTATAGCTATAGTACATTGATGATGGGCCCTCCCAGCAGCAGCTTCCACCGAAGGATTGGTGCAAGCACGACAACAAAGCACAAAGGGTGAAAAATGCAATCATCCTCCCAATTGCGACGACAAGCAAGAGCTGTCACAGTCCAGCCCGGCAATAACTCAGGCAACAGAGACAGCAAACACTGAAAATGCATGCAGTCAACTTTCCCACCTCAAAAGGAACTGGACCAGTAAACTGACTCATGACCTTTATAAGGAAAGCCCTCCCAGTGATTCCTCCTTCTTCCTTTTTTGACTGGGTTGGCCTGGTCATTCCTGGTTGTGCTTGCGCCCCTCTCCCAGCTGTTGCGCTCCACCTCTACCATCCATCCGTCCATAGTCCCTTCTAATCCCATAAGTAAACCGATCTTTCTTCTTCTTACTACCAACCTTTGCTTCCTTCATCCTCTCTGTCCTTACATTATTACGAGCAGCAGATCAGCATAAAGCCAGTATTTTCCGGTCAGAGGGCACCCTCCCAAAACTTTGTACATCTTTGTCAGAAAGAAGTCTAGGCTTGCCATTCGACATCGGTATACATGTATGTTTTAGCCACGTTGGCTGAACATGACTTGGTTCTTGTGATCCAATACCCACATTCACCACTGCCGTACAAAGGGGAAGGATTGTCTAGTAGCTAAAGATGACTGCAGCGCAATAGAACAGTGCATGGTTAGTTCTTTTACCTATAGAATGTAATATATATTTATGTGGAACTATCATGCAGTAAAATTTGTGACATCAAAAGATCCATCTGCTCCAATAAAAATGTCAACGATGATTTCAGAAAAGGCTTCCCCAGCTTCCAAAGAATACAACACGGTTTGGTCGGTGGCTGTTCTTACAGTAATCCAACCATAGGGTATGCCATCACCAAAAAAGTCTGACACCACCAGTCGGTAGCTGTTGTTGGGGCTGACTGGGAAGAGAGAGGAGTAAACATAATTTTTATACCCCTTGATTCCACTGTGTCCCAAACACCAGTCACATTGGTTTCCTTCTGCCAAACCCATGATGTTTCCTCTGGATAATCATCAGTTTGGATATTGACAATGACATCCGCGCCTCTGGTTGGAAATCATCCAGGTCAATCCGGTATAGCTTCGGTTAGGTCAATACATGTGGAAACAGGAGGAGTTTCATGCAGGGAACAATCACACCACAGAAAAGAACAAAGATGCTTCGGGACAGTTCCTGAGAACTGGTTGCCATGTAGCCTCAATCCCATTGCTGCATTCAGCTGGCTGGGCAGTGTTCCTGTCAGATTATTGTTTTGAATAAACAGAGATGTCAGTGATGTCATCATGCCTAATTCAGTCGGGATTGTTCCGGTGAACTGATTGTCATAAAGAATAAGCTCCCGCAATGATGTCAGAGGCCAAAGCTCCATGGGAACCGAGCCAGTGAACTGGTTGCCGTTCAACCTCAGCTGGGCCAAAGCAGTCAAAAGGCCAAGCTCAGAAGAAATGAGCCCGGTGAACTTATTCTCTCCAAGCCAAAGACTCTCCAGTGAGGTCAGGAGTCCAAACTCTGAAGAAATCAGACCAGAAAACAGATTATCAGAAAGCCAAAGAGTGTACAATGAGGTCAGTAGCCCAAGCTCAGAAGGAACTGTAACAGAGAGCTGATTGGCACCAATCTTCAGAGTGGTTAATGAGGTCAGGAACCCTATCTCTGAAGCAATCTGACCGGACTACTGATTCTCAGCAAGCCAAAGAGTATTCAATGAGGTCAGGAGCCCTAGCTCAGAAGGAACTGGACCCGTCAACTTATTGCGAGCAATCCAAAGCTTCGTCAATGATGCCAGGGATAAAAGCTCGGTAGTAATTGATCCAGTCAATCGATTGCCGGAAAGGGAAAGCTCTTTCAATGAGGTCAGGAGCCCAAGCTCTGAAGGCAGTGGACCAGTGAACTGATTATCCCAAAGGTAAAGTTCATCCAGTGCGGTCAGGAGCCCAAGCTCAGACGGCAGTGGACCCGTCAATTGATTCCATTGAAGCCAAAGAATATTCAATGAAGTCAATAGTGAAATTTCAGGGGGAATCTTGCCAGTGAACTGATTATCCGACAAAATCAAACTTGTCAATCCCGTCAGCTCATATAGCTCTTTCTGCAAAAGAGGTGAAATTGTTCCAGAAATGTCATTGAATGACAATTCTACATGAGACAAGGATGTCAAGAGCACAATCTCAGGTGGCAGAGATGGGGATAAACCGGAGAGCTGCAGCTGTCCTAGATTCAGAGATGTAAATTGTCCTTGGCCGTTGCAGGGTGGTGAATATGTGAACCCAAATGGTTGCAAATCATAGTAATTTCCATCCCAAGGTGCAAACAATCCAAATCCACTAGAGAACCAGTCACACTCCTCCTTTGTATCATCCATCCACTTGTTTTGAATTGGTTGCCAACAATTCTCACCCTCAAAGGCAGAGAAGAAGGTAGCAAGAGCAAACAACTGTGTCTTTCTCCATTCTGGAAGAAAGGTGATATTTTGGTGATTGGCTAGCCAGTTCCATGCTTTCCACTGTGGAGTCTCGCTGCCATTGTTCATACTGGCCAAAGTGTAGTCACCTAGGCTATCCAACAACACGTCCAGAACCCCAGTGGGGGAAGAGGATGGAACTTCTGATGGTTCCATTGAACCAAAAACAGTTGGAGCCTCGGTTGACTCGAGGACAACCACTTTTGGCTTCTTGTGCCTTTGGGTTCCCACCACCAATCCCACGATAATGCCAGTAAGCAGCAACAACCAAAGAGCTGCAGCAATGAAAGTTTTCTGTTGCTGCTTCCTATGGAGTTCACGATGTTGGGCAGCTTTGAGATCAAACGGATTGGCATGCATCAATTCGGCGGTATCATCCTCTACGGCATTAGCCTGTACCAACCCTTCATTTCCTGTCGCAGCAACACCAGAATCTTCTGGACCACTACCAGTGCCCGTATTAGCACCAACAAGGCCATAGTTCAAGTCGGGATTTCGTTGTTGCGCCTGTCCTCCTGCTGGTGCACCCGGAAACGCTCCTGGCTGAGATTGTGGACGCATCTGGGTTGTTCGGTGCAAGGCTGGTTGTGGAATAGCCTCCACTTCTGCAACGGCATCTTCCATAATTCCTAAGACACCATTTTGTTTTCCCCTCAAGGCTGGAGCTTCTGTTGTGTTGGAAGCAAATGTCTGTTCCCCTGAGACACCATCGTCTTGACGTTCCCTCAGGGCTGCAGCTTCTTGTTTGTCGGTAGCGAATGTCTGTTCTGTTGGGAGAAATGATAGTCGGCGGCTTTGTGGAGTTTTGTCACCAGTAGTAGGTGCTGTCATGGCAGAATCCTGAGAACCGTTTGTAGTTTCTTGGGCATGATTGGCGTTTCCGGGATGGGCTCTGGCAGCAAATTTTTCCAATTTGGCAGCTTCATTGATTTCCGCGGCTATTTGCATGAGGTTCTCGCTGTTATCATCTGTGTTTGGTGTTTTTTTATTTTCTTTGGCATAGAGACGTTCCGCATCAGTCAAAGTGGTCTGACCAGCATCTTCCACCACAGCTCGTTTCATCAGGGCATCTCTGACGGCAGAGTCGAGTGACAGTTCTTCTGCTGACGCATTTCCGTCCTGAGAATGACGGTCTTCCTCAGCGGTACCGGTAGTACGACGGCCGGTGCTCTTTCCCTCATTCATCCTGTATATAGCTGGTAATAGACTGGAGACTGTAGTCCACTGTCGAACATGGACATGTAGATCGAAGACAACGTATACGATATAGGTATATGGAAGAGTTGAAAAAACTGTTGAATGCCTGCTCAATTCGACAATAACCACTGCGAGGTAGCTATTACGGTAGTACCGGTACCGGTACCACTTGTAGACTTACGATTGGCAGACATCGATGGTAAGCAGCAGTACGATGTAAGCCAGAGTCGAGGTGAGAGCCGAGTCAGGTCGATCCCTCAACAGGTATACACATGGAACAAGCTTCTGAAGAACATAGCAAGCTTTAAGGACACCACTGCAAATGAATTAACATTCCTGAATTACTTTTATATCTTTTTTATTTCTCCAAGTCGGACTGTAACCGTACTACTACAGTAGCTAGTATGACATACATGACAACCGGTCAAGGAATTCGATCGATAGATTGATTCGATTCTGATTGGATCCATTCGTCACTGCCATGGCACACCCTTTGCGTTTCCTGTAGTCTGTAATATGCCGCTCTACCTAGAGCCATCAGGAGAAGCCTTTGGGCCCGATCCCGACTGGCAAGTCTAGCTAGTAGGCTACGTTTATTTGGCTAGCTACAGTGTACCTTCTCGAAATGAGCCTGCATGCGTCTGGTTGCTCGTGTCAGCAAGCCCCTTTGCCTTTTGCCAAACCCAATATACTGCCTGGCAACCAGCACCAGCCCAGCCAGCCACCCACTTGACGACGGAACAATCCATGCAGTCCACCAGGGCAAAAAAGGCTGACACGACGATGGCATCAATCAACTCTCCTCGGGCAGCTAAGCCAGCAGTATAGCAAAGCTACCCGAATGTTGTACAGTATGGTACGGTATTACGAAGTGGTACCTGGATCCGTCCCTTATCGGATTGATGATCATCGATCCGATGAATGAAGAAGGTCTATTAGATATCCAAACGACAGGAGTGACAGCCTAGCAGATCTAAACAGTGCGCCTTTCTTTTTTCAGGCGGCATGTCTTTGATGGATAAAAAAGGCCTGTGGCAAAACCTCCCTATATCGACCATCCTTTCAGCGGGGTCCGGAAATACCACCTAAAATTAAGCCAGCGGAGCTGTGTAACCTCGGCAGAAAGGTTTCAGTGTTTACATGTAGAAGCAGATACCCCGAGCTAGCTAGCTAGAAGCAGATACCTCTAGTGCTTAGCTAGTGCTTAACTTGCGCTTAGCTAGCTAGAAGCAGATTCCCCCTAGCTAGAAGCAGATTCCCATAGCAAGCTAGAAGCAGATACCCCTAGCTAGCTAGAATACAAGTTATATAGCTTTCGCTGGCTTTAGAGTTTTTCCTGGTAGAAGCAGATCCCCCTACTAGGATGCATGTAAATAGCTTTAGCTGGTTTAAAGCACCATCCTAGGATACTTATTTAGTTTTTGCTGACTTATTTGTATTCTAACCCTACCCTTATACCTGCAGGGACCACCGTAGCAGGAAAAACAATTAAAGGGGTTGAGGGCTCTGGCAGCAAGACTGCCGAGGTAAATCTTTAAAACCACCGTTTGCGTGAAACTAGCAGTTATTAATAGTTTCACGCACTGTTTCACGCACGTGAAACAGTGCGTCCTCCAGAGCTGCACCGGTACCAGTAGCCCCGATTAGCATAACCTCCCTTTAGAATTCTTTTATATTGATGCCCCCAGACCGCTGGGACCTGTGCCATGGCTGTGGAGCTACCATTTGATTTTCGCGTCCTTATAGCTTCATGGTCGCTCCGTGATTCAGCATTGTCACAAGATAACCGCAAGGACAAATTGAAACGAGGAGAAAGAGTGGGTTGGGTCAACCGAGTGCGTCTCCGTTGGTTCTCTCTTTTAAAGCCCTTATAAACGCACTCGCGTGGCTGCATTGTGAAGATCTGGGGTGTTAGGACAGAGTAATGGGCCCATGGATGCCATGGGCGCTACTACCAAAAGGTGCAGCTAGACATCCACGTATCTTCCGATAGCCAAGATGCATGATCGATTTACAGGCAGGGCCCCATCCTGCTCTTTTAGCTAGCTAAAGGCCAGTGACGATAAAGAACAAGGTGACAATCAACAACGAGGATCCATAGTTAATAAAGTATTACCCACAAATCATGCCTACGGCAAGGTTGCATGAATGAGTTCGTTGCGGCGTCTTCGGATATAGAAATATTTAACATGTAGCACTCATGTAGCTATATGCACAGAGTTGTAGAATTGGTGATATCAAAAGATCCAGCTGCTCCAACCAATCCTTGATTGGCAATTTCAGAGAAATAGAACTGTGTAACATAATTGGTGATATAGCACTTCTTCATTTATTTCTTTATGCACTCCACTTTTTGGTTCCATTGTGCACGCATGGAGACGACCTAAAAGAGTCTTTAAAATGCTTCTTCGGTTATATCAAAATATCCATCTGCTCCAACCAAAACATGAATGGTGAGTTCAGAAAAAACACTTTCACCAACCATTGAATACAACACTGCTTGGTTGGTGGCTGTGAGAGTTATCCATCCAGGGACATAGATACCATCACTAGCACTGTCTGACACAACCAGTCTGTACTTGTTCTTGGTTCTGGCTGAGAGGAGATATGAGTAAACATGCCATGGATCTTCCAGTGGACCACCTGATTCCAGTGTGTCCCAAATACCAGTCACATTTGTTTCCTTCTGCCACAACCATGAGGTTTCTTCTGGGTATTCATCAATATAGATATTGAGCATGACACCAGGACTTGTGTTTGGAAAGAGTCCAGGCCAATACAGTTGAGCTTCGAGACCAGCACAGGTGGAAACAGAAGGAGTTTCATTTAGGGAACAATCACACAAAAGAAAAGAACAAAGATGCTCCGGCACAGTTCCTGAAAACTGATTCCCATCCAATCTCAACTCCATGGAGGCATTCAGTTGGATAGGCAGTGTTCCTGTTAGGTTATTGTTGTGAAGAGCCAGGGATGTCAAAGATGTCATCATGCCAACTTCAGTTGGGATCTGGCCAGATAGCTGATTGGCAGACAGTTCAAGCTCTCGCAATGAGGTCAGCAGTCCAAGCTCAGAAGGAAACTGACTGGTCAACTGATTGGAAGATAGGAAAAGCCGGCCCAGTGAGGTCAGGAGCCCAAGATCAGAAGGCACTAGACCTGTATGCTGATTATAAGAAAGGTCAGACCATTCCAAGGAGGTCAGGAGACCAAGCTCAGAAGGAACTTGACCGCTCAACAGACTGGTTGATACGAAAAGCTCATTCAATGAGATGAGAAGTCCAAGTTCAGAAGGAATAGGACCGGTGAACTGATTCGAATAAAGGGAAAGAGTTTCCAACGAGGTCAGGAGCCCAACCTCTGAAGGCAGCGTGCCACTCAGCCTGTTCATATAAAGGATGAGGTTGACCAATGAGGTCATCAGGCAAAGTTCAGAAGGAACTGGACCAGTTATCCGATTCGGTGCAAGCCAAAGATCACTGAGTAAGGTCAGGAGCCCAAACTCAGAGGGCAAATGACCGGTCAGTTGATTCTGTACCAAGCCAAGGTAGGTCAATGAAGTCAATAATGAAATTTCAGAGGGAATTCTGCCAGTGAATTGATTCGCCCCCAAATCCAAATGTGTCAACCCTGTCATCTCATAAAGTTCTGTTGGTAACAAAGATGAAATTGGTCCAGCAATGTCATTGACCAGCAAGTCTACAAGAGACAAGGAAGTCAAGAGGGCAATCTCAGGTGGAATAGATGGGGAAAGACCAGAGAGTTGCAGGTCCCGCAGATCCAGATGTGTGAATTGTCCTTGGTTGTTACAGGGAGGTGTATATGGTATACCAAAGGATTGAAAATCGTAATAAATCCCTTGGATAAAAAATCCAGTTAGACTGGAGAACCAGTCACACTCTTTGACTGTGTCATCCATCCATCCACGATCCTTTATTTTGTACCAATTTTCACCCTCAAAGGAGTAAAAGAAAGTAGCAAGAGCAAACAGCTGCGACTTTCTCCATTCAGACAAGTATGTGATGTTCTGGTGATTTGCTAGCCAGTTCAATGCTCTCCACTGAGGGGTCTCACTGCCTTTGTTGATGCTTGCCAAAGTGTAGTCAGGTAGGCCATCCAACAGCAAGTCCAGAGCTCCCGTGGGAGCAGAGGATGGCACTTCAGAGGGTTCCACGGAGCCATAAACAGTAGGAGCCTCCGTTGACTCGAGGACGACCACTTTTGGCTCCGTGTTCTTTTGAGTTCCCGCGACGAATCCCACAATAATAGCAGCAACCAGCAATAGCCAAAGAACTGCTGCCAAGAAAGTTTTCTGTTGCTGCTTCCTTTGGAGTGCACGATGCTGCGCAGCTTCTTCCAGATCGACCGGATTGGCATGCATCAAATCAGCTGTATCATCCTCTATAGCATTAGCCTGTACCAACCCTTCATTTGTCAATATCTGCACAGCGGTACCTGCACTGGAATTTTCTGGACCACCCTCAGTGACCAAATTATTAGCACCAAGAAGCCCATAGTCTAAATTGGGGTTTCGTTGCATCTGTCGTCCCGGTGCACCCATGAACGCACCTGGCTCAGATTGTGGATTCATAAGGGTGGTTCGGTACAAGCCAGGTTGCTGAACAGACTCTACCTCTGCCACCGCCTCTACCGTATTTCCTGGGACAGTATCTTGTCGTTCGGTCAAGGCTGCAATATCCAAAAATGAAGGGGCAGGATCATTTAACGGTTGGTCCCATACCAGAGGAATTGATGGAGGAAGAACATTTCCTTGTGCATCAAAGTTGTTGCCTTTTATCGGAGGGTCTTGTCCATGACTCACGGCTGTGTTGGCTGCTTCTTCCTGCCCAGCAGCTTCGTCACCCTTAATATTTTTTGTGAGCTTTTCCAGTTTGGCAGCTTCGTTGACTTCTACAGCAGTTTGCAGAAGGTGCTCCTTGTCGTCAGAGTCCTCTCCTACTAGCACGATTTCTTCTGCTTTTGGTTGTTCGACCTTGCAGTCTTCTTCTCCCTCATCGCTAAGTTTGTCAATCTCTGCTGAATGAACTCCTTTGGCAACCTCCACTGGATTTGTTGCTGCCAAACTGGCAACCTCTTGCTCATTAGTTTCGACGATCCTAGGGCTTGGCTTAGAATTCCCATGAGGGTGGGTCCTTTCGGCAGCAACATCTAAAACCATGGGCTGTGGTGCACCCTCTTCAGGAACAGGATACATCGGCTCCACATATAGTTCCCCATCCCGAATGGCATCGGTAATGGAAGAAACACATGTCTCAATATCATCACTGTGATTCCGTTGGGCAATAATCTCCTCTGGTATCGGAGGGGCTTCTGGAGCAACACCAAACTGCTGCTCATCTTCCAGTGCTCGGATCAGAGAATCCTCTTCCATTGGGTTGGTGGCCATAATATTGTCTATATAGTTCGATGGTTTGCTAGCAGCTAGTGTTTGGTTCTTCTGACTGAGTGGAACCGAATGGTTGAATACTCGAAAAGGTTGGCTGACAATAAAGCAGTGTGGCAAAGTTGGTTATCATCTTTTTGCTAAATCCAAGCAAGGAGCTCGGTCGATCCCAAATTTCACCTGAACTTTGCCTTGTGGGCCTGCCCGAAATCTTCAAGTGCGTAGGAAAACACTGATGGCTGTCGAACAACGGTGGCACATACAGTACATATCATCGATCCCTTCCGTGCTTCCATGATTTTAAAAAGAGTTATAGCAGGTATTAGTAATACCAGTACTGTACTGTATGTTGAAACACTTTTTGCAACAGAACGTGATGTGCTGTACCGGTATGAACGTGTCATAATATTATTGGACCAATTGCGACTTACTTTGGCTAGCTACAGTAGTCACAAGAGTTGAAACGCAACTTTGTGCGTCAATCTCGCCCACCGTGACCCGGTGCCCTTGGTCCTTGAATAACGACTACAGTACTAGCTAGCTCTAGCTATGATACTAGCTAGCTAGTAGATCCAATTTCAGCCAGCCGTCCCTCTTCAGATGAGCGATGCAGTGCAGTGCGGTGTTACCTACCGGTACGGTAGCTAGCTACAAGGATTGGGCTATCAGCCCGTGCCGAAGTCTTCAGTAGCCAGCCATTACGGTGCGCTCAGCCACCAGCAATAAGGGAATTCCATTGCCATGATGGCTGGCTGGTTTTCTTGATCCGACATTGTAGGTACTAGTAGTACGATGAAAACCTGTCCAGCCATTTTGATAGACCTTTCATCCGACATCCAACCACCCATCCATACAGCGTGGCAAAGAAAACCCTATAATGCATCAACCTCTTTGATATGGCGGCATGTCTTTTATTATCGACCATCCTTGAAGAGCTCATAGAAGCAACAAATATTTGCCCGAAGACCGCAGGGACCCCATGGCAGTCCTTCCCATCCATTGCAGCTTCTATTACTAACTAGCTAGTACCTACGTACCCACTGAGTAGCCTCTACTAATACTACATGTACTGTAGCAAACCTCCCTTTAGAACTTCGTTATTGATGCCCCAGACCGCAGGGAGCCCGCTCCTTTCTTCCCATCTACCTCTAGAGCTTGCTTTTGTGAAGGAGCCAATAGATTTAAGCATCAGTCATGGTTGCTTCAGTCGGGTCATCAATTCTTTACTTATGTCTGTGCCTTCTTATTCTTTTCTTTTGCATTCTTATTCCCTTAGCTTTGGGTTTCCTTTGACCATCATCCCCTAAGCAGAATGTTTCTATAAAGAATGGTTGTTCATAGGATGCTGCAACGATTGGTGACGCTGTTGACTTCTCCAGTGGAGAAGGGAATGTCTTGTTGCGGTGACCGCGGAAAGGAGCTTTTAATGCAAAGAAGATGCAAAGAAGGGATGATGGATTATATGAGAACACGACTGTATAGTGACGCCTTGAAGTAGGTCATTCGACCATCATTGGGTGTGTCACACTGTCACACTTCTGCAAAAGATGACCCATCATTAACTAAGGTGGCTCCGTGGTTGACCATCCAATCTTCAACTAAGATCCGATTAGACCATGAGTAAGATTATTGGAAGCATGCTATTACACTAGCTAGTTTTGCCACCGGTGGTCGGTGTGAAAGAAAGACTGCACGCAGGTTCTTTTCTCTCTAGTATTCTTGTGTTGGGTTCGCCTTTCTTGGATTGCTGCTCGCCACCAAAATCAAATCCTCACAATTTCGAAACACAAAAGCTCACAAGCTCACAAGACTGCATTCAATAAACTCTAGCTAGCTAGAAACAAGTAAGCTAGAAACCACCATGAGCCACCTTAACCACCACAGCAGCAATAATAATAACAACTACAATGCTAGCAGCAGCAGCGGCATGGTAGTCCAGTACGGATTTCGGGATGACGATGATGACTCGGAAGATGGTCGCCCCAGTCTCTTTGGTGGATTGCGTCAATCATCGTCGCGTCGCTTGAAAAAGATTGGCAATGTCGTGAGTGACGCCAAGAGTTTGTTAGCGGGCGCCAAAGCCGCTTCGGCGGGCCATTTTGGATTGGTGTATGGACTGGACAACAAGTATAGCGATAGTGATAGTGAAAGCGAGGAAAGCGAGTCGGACAGCGATGACAACGCCAGCGTGTGCAGCAAGGCCAGCGTGGCATCGAAAGCCGGCAAGACTTTGAAGATATTGGGCGGCAAAGTCAAAAAGGGCGTCAAGAAAGTGCGCGGCAAACGCCGTGGGAGTGACAAAGTCAAAGAGTACGAACCAGAGCAAGCACCACCACCACCACCCATGGGACATATTCACACCAACAGTGATCACGAAGATGACGAGGATGATGATCTCAGTGACGATGATGATGGCGACGCGTCTGTAGCATCCCGTGCTTCTGACGCAGTCCGTCGTGTCAAGGGGAAACTGAGCAAGGCACTCAAGGTCGTCAATCGCAAGAATAAAAAGTACAACAACGAGTTTGACGACGACGATTCGAGCTTGTCATCCGAAGAAGAAGATTTGCTCTTTGACGCAGTGCCCACCGTACCTACCAGTCGCCGCAGTTTGGGACTTCGTCGTTGCCACACGTCATCGTCCCACGAAAAACGATCTGCGGGACCTCTAGACGTTCACCCGACCAAGCAAGCGCCTCGTCGTCACACATCCGATCCCATGGGCTTGCAAGTCCTGCGACGCAAAAGCAAGCAACCACTCCAAGATGATTCGGACAGTCTCTCCGACCTCAGTGATCACAATGACGACGCTCGTCGTCGCGGTGGCAAAAAGAAGAGCTCCACCAGCAAGAACAAGAACAACACCACTGCTTCGTCGTCGTCGTTCCATAATACCAACTGGTCCATGAATGTCACACCCGAAATGAAGAAAAAGTGGGAAATGAATGTCTCACGAAATCTTCTCGTGGTGGAAGCAGACCATGGACACGGCGCCACTCGGGCGGCCTAAACCATTCTCTGTGACTTACTGACTGACTGACTGACTGACTTGATCTAGCAGTTTGGGAAAGTAGAAGCAAACAAAACTAAATGAAACAATAGGAACCTTGCATTATCACTATAACATTGTTACCTGGACCACACTCCTCCTGTGGTGTGGTCTAGCTGTGGATGTAGCCAACGATCGATCGAAACAGAACACGGAGTTGCCGTCGTTGCTTGGAGCTTTCTGCCATGGCTGCAGGATGGATGAGACTATGAGACTATGGTTGGTTGTCTAGCTATCGCACAGTAGTCTAGCTAGCTACGGTAGCTACTTGGCTGCAGCCACTGACATGAGAATACGTTGGCTGGCGTTATACCGGGGTACTTTACACTATATACTTGTATGGGCGGTAGCAACGATCAGTAAAATCAATGACAGATCAGACACCGGTCTGTCTCGCTTGCATTTGTTATTGGCGCGGTCGTACCGGTACCGGTACGAATACCAACAGAACGACACAAGGCACATGAGTGGCCACCGACGGCATGATGAGTCGGAGGAATCCCCGTCGCCCTCCATGCTCGGTGGAGGTTTCTGGGGCTATGGCTGCTGTTTCTACCGTGCTTCATGACCGCTGCAATGAAAATTCGTTTCAAGCTATTGCAGATGCATGGTACCGGTAGGGCCTCTGGCCAAAGATGTTTGTGTCCAGAGCTGTGTCGAGTGTCCGTTGTCGTTGCGTTGGTGCGCCTTTCGTCATAAAATCATCACGCGTGCAAACGACTACGTATAGTATGTCCGAGAAGTTGGCGGGCTCTCATTGAAGCTATATTCTATATGCTAGGCGAAAACGTTGCAAGAGAAACATCTATTTACAAGATGATCTATCGATCTATCTATCGGGCATCGTGGTCATGTTGTGAGTGTCTGTGGATTGTAGATTTTCCGTGGATAAATACTAATAGATGCGGAACGGAACTGGCACAGGTGCGAGTCCAGACGCCTCAACTGGAAATGCCGTTCAGATTATACTCACCACAACCAAGTTAACGCGCCAATCCGCGGAAAGCTGGCGAATGATGTTGTCGAAGGAACTGGAGTCTTGCATTCCAACCCTCATTGGAGTCTGGCCCCCGAGGAGCAAGAAAAGCAAGATCATGCAACGGAATAAGCATAGCTAGGTGTAGGCAAGTACGTATAACCAAGAGCAAGTAGAGAGTAACCTAGCTAGCTAGCTAGAGAGGGGCTTAGCACAACAATCGCAGCAGCAAAGTATAGGTGGTCATACGCCCATTGAAGAACTAGAACTAGCTAACGATAGTGCAAAAAAAAAAACTGAACTTCTAATAACGGATCTCAGACGAGATGTGCTTGAGCGAACAAGATGCGTGAATCGATAGTGCAGTGCTCCAAAAGAATCCAATGGCGCTTGCTCGATTCTGTACAAACACAGGAGTTCAGGGATGAACATATACAACACTACTACTGTACTACTGTCACCGGACAAGGTGAAGGGGCAATTGGCAAATAGCAGCCACAAAGGAAATCTGTGCATGAAAAGAAGAGGTCATCCAGATCGCACAATGCTGTTGGCATAAAAGGTGCCAGAATGACACCTCAGACTGCCCGCAGAATCCAGTGTGCAAGACGAGACAAACCAGAAAGCTCTGATGGAACTGCTCCGTGTCAGCTTTGGGCAAGTTGGACCAAATCCAGCTCTTTGAGTTTGGTTGCATTCACCCACAGTTCTGTAGGAATTGAACCGGAAAGGAGATTGTCTCGAAGTGAAAGAGATGTCAGGCTTTCCATCCCACCAAACTCACTAGGGATCCTTCCTGATAGAGCATTTCGGTTAAGGGAAAGACTGTGCATGATGCTATTCATAGCAAGCTCTGAAGGAATCTGTCCAGACAACTGCATTTCGGCCAACCACAGATCTTGCAAACAGTCAACAACCCAAGCTCCGAAGGAATCTGTCCGTGTAACAAATTTGCTCCCAAATACAAGCCACTCAGATCAGTCAAAAGTCCGAGCTGCGAAGGAATCTGGCCTGTCAACAAATTATGATGCAATAAGAACCAATTCTCCACATCACTCAACCGCCCAAGCTCCGAAGGAATTCGACCCACCAAATTATTTCGATTCAATGCAAAGATCCAATCCAAAGCAGTCAATGCCCATAGCCTCTGACGGAATCTGGCTGACAAATGGTTGTTGTCCAATTCCAGGTGTGTCAAACTAGTCATCTGGCCAAGTTCAGAAGGGATTCGGCCTGTCAACTCATTCGAAAAGATTCGAAATGCTGCCAAACCAGTCAAGAGACCAATTTCTGTAGCAATTTGACCTGTGAGCAGGTTGCCCATTAGAAACAATTCCTCTTCTAAAGGTGTCATCATTCCAATTTCGCTGGGGATTGACCCGGTGAGTGAATTCGAGGACAGGTCCAAGTGAGTGAGTGAAGTCCAGAGTGTAATTTCTGTAGGAAGCTGCCCTGAGAAACGATTACCCGGAAGCAGGAGGGACCGTAAACCAGTCATCTCATAGAGCTCTGGCGAAATCAACTTGGCCAATGGAACTTGGATGCTGTTGTCACCCAAGTCAATTCTGGATAGTGAGGATAGCAAGGCAATTTCTGATGGTAGAAAAGGGTTCATTCCTGTCAGCCCCAAACCCATCTCCAAACCAGCAAGGGACAGTGAAGTGTATTTACCAAGCTCGTTGCATGGGGAGGGGAGATCCGTCAGGCCACTATTAAGGGTAGAATCGTGATCCTCTTTGGTGAGGAATGCAGGACCAGACTGTTTGGAATACCACAAACACTCGTCTTTGGTGTAATCCAACCAACGGTCACGGCGCACGATACCGAAATCAGATTCAATGGTGTCTGGCCAATGCTCACCCTGCATTGCATAAAAGAATGTTGCCAAGGCCAAGAGCTGGTTCTTCTTCCAATCTGATAGCAGGTCATAGTTTGGATGATTCTGTAGCCATTCTTGAGCCTTTTCCTGTGGTCCCATTGTTTGCGTGTTTCGTGGCTTTTGGGGCCTCAGGCCCAACAGCCCAAGCTGATGGCGATAATGGCAAGAAACCAGCATGACAGCATATCCAATCTCCGACATCCTGCTCTCCTTTCTTCCTTTGTCTCTCGCTTTGGCTTTATCAGCTGCTGTTCCAGTTCTGCATCATCCACTTGTTGAGCTTCCTGGAAATATTGCGAGGCAGATGCCTCTGTCACGGCCCTGGCTTCCACGAGTCCAACGTTGGTATCTTGTAGTGATTCGTTCATCCTCTGGTTTTGATTTTCTAAATCAGCATCTGTGTCGACTTGTGGCCGACCTGTTTGATTTGAGACGGCAGCTGTACCGGGATCTTCTAGCACAAGATTTGCCTCTGCCAAGTGCGGGTCATTTGTTAATAGAATGTTGTTGTTGGCGCTGTTGCTGGGTTGGCTCGCATCGTGTGGTCCAGCCAGTTCAGAAGAATTGTTTGGATCGCCTATCTGCACCAATGGTTCACCTGGACCAGTACCACTGGCACCCACAAGAGAGAATCGTAGGGTATTGGCCCTTTGCAAGGCTTCTCCTGGTAAACCCATGTAGGCTCCTGGTCTCGATGAAAGATGCTGTTGCCTCTGTAGTGGGATAGTTTCTGGTTGTACCAGTCCTAAACCTTGTTCAGTCGAATTTACAGAATTCGGAGAATTTGCAGCAGTTTCAATTATTTCAATTTTGGCAGCCTCATTGATTTCAGCTGCCATTTGCATGAGATGGTTGGAGGCGGTGACATCTTCATTCTCCTCACCGGAAGAAGATGTCTGTCCTTCTGGGGAATATGATAGCTGGTGGGTTTGTTGGGTGTTGCTGAGCCCAGCCTTCATGCCAGCGTTTTTGTGGTCCTGCTTAATATCTTCGTCCTCCTTCAACATTTGTGCTGTCGCCCAACTGGCCCTATTCGCCACAATTTCCATGACTTCTTCTTCTTCAGCTGCGGCTTGATTGGCTTCTTCTGCAGCTTGATGCTGCTGTTTCTGTTCCTGCTGGTTTGCTGTTGACTGGGGTTTAATGCTTCTACTGTTGGTACCAGCCAGGTTGAGGACTGTCGTTTTGACCGACTGTTTCTTGACAGCTTCTTCTTCTTCTGCCTGCGTTTTTGCAACTGTGGTTTCATGGTCTCGTTGGACTTGTAACGCTTCTGCCTCTGCTCTCTTGATAAGGGCGTCCCTTACCGCTGGGTCGAGTTGATTGTCGTGACCGTTCAAGTTCTCGTCATCGCTACCGGTACCATTGTGGTCACCAACATTCCCAGAATCTTTGCGATTCTCTTCTTCTTCTGTCATCCCTGTCTGTTGCACAACAGAGCTCAGTTTGAGAAGTGAGAGTGATTGTGAATCAATTGGTGCTATTGTATATTACTTATATACTTGTGATAGTTATGGACTATTTTATGGTGATGGGTTTCGGCACGATCATGCAGAAGAAAATAAATACTAAATACTTCCTTCCACCCCTTTGTTGTTTCAGTGGATGGCATGCTTGCCCCTCAAGCCAAGACTCTCCTACAACGCCTTGCTTCTGCTACTGCCTCCAAAACTCAATTTTCCTACTCTCAAATGATGTTCTTCATGCAGACCCGTATCTCCATTGCCCTTGTGAAAGCTACCCATTTATGTCTCCGTGGATCCCGCAAAGCCAAACCCTTTGCCCCCCGTAATGGTCCTCAATTTCTTGCCCCTGATCCCACAGAACCTAGTCCTGAATTTCGACTGTTCTTTGCTTAAGCCTGGCCCCGGCTGGCTTCCGTAGATAATTTCCCTACTCTAAAACCCCCCTTATAATAGATACGTTAAGGAGCGAGGGGGGCGAGGCTAGCTAGGCAAAGCAGTGGCCGCGGTGGTGGGTGGCTGGTGTGGTGGGCATACGGGGAGAGCAATGAGGACACGAGTATGGCAAAACAAGGGGGGGCAGGGAAGGGGGGTGCATGGAGGAAAACCAGGATGGAGTTATACCATATATGGGGGGGTTTTAGAGTAGGGAAATTATCTACGGAAGCCAGCCGGGGCCAGGCTTACCATGGTGCAGCCGCTGCCGCGATCGCGAATGGACGACATGCATCCATCATTCTCGCAAAGACCGGCGGTGACTCACACCGCTTATTAACCAGCTCAATGGCACTTATGTAATGATTGCTCTGGGACTCAAGTGCGTGAGAAAGTCACTCGACTACATGTATTGTGCTGGGGTTTTTGGCCATATGATCTTGACCCTGCCGTGACAGTCATCTCGGCTTGTTCAATCTGCTCGGACAGCGTCGAGCTTCATCCTCCAACACGAAATTGCCTCGAAAGCTATGGCTACGTGCCAGGTCGAATCGAATGATTGAATCGAATCGAATGGTCTTTTCCATAATAAACAATCCACTTCTACCCTTGCAAGCATACCGTGTGTACTGTAGGAGATGAAAGAGGAGCGAATGAACCATAGAATCAAAGGCGACCGCCGCGATTCAAGAGATCGTCGAGCGAGCCCATGCTACCGTACTCCAGCAAAGCAGACATTGGACCTTGTACGGTGCAAGTAGGCGAAGAAAGCGCCAGCTCCTGAAGTCGAAAACTAACCCAAGTGACTGCATGCTACCAGCTGGGCGACCCTTATCATGGGAAAGACCTTTATCGTACTGAGAAAAATCCCGAGGAAAAATCAGTTATGCTGGCTCGCAAATCAGAATTTGAGTACCCAATGGATTGGCTGGCGCTGTACTGTGGAAAATCAGTAAAAAAAGAACCATTATCGTGCATGATCATGGTCTTTGGGCTGGTAGCATGGCGTGACAGGAGCAGCCGAGCCCGTGAGCACATCTCAAAAGCGCAGACGAGCCTACTACAGGTAATACGATTCGTGGGGAAGGTGGACGGATCTGTACCGTATCCAACCTTGCCACTCGATGAGGCACGCTTGAAACGATTACCATCAAAGGAGCGAGCAAGACAAACCTACGGGGATAGTGCTACTATTGATCCATCAGGTCTCTCTATAATGAAATGGGTATAGGTCTAATATATTTGGTTGGAAATCGACATTCTATGCGTACGACCCGGTATCTAACTCATGACATCTATCGCAGGAGACCAAGTCGCTCGAAGCCTTGTGCGCATCCAGAAAGGTGGGTACGGTACCGATCGACGCAGGAATCGAATCACCGTCGTACGAAAACACTCCTCTGCGAGTGGTCGTATCCTCCCTCCTGTTGCCAATCAAAGACTTGACGGCGAATGAAACAAGAACCAGCCACGCTCCTCATGTAGCCGCTAGCTACTGTAGCAAACGATCGAGACAGATCTCAGTCTGCCTCGCCTGCTGTACCGGTAGTTGGTATTGGTGTAACTGAAGCAAACATGTATAGGGAACATGCATGATCGGCCACCGACTTCATGACGATGTATCCCGGTTATAATAACTGTCGTCGTTGGCGCATGCATGGAGTCGTTTTCTGGCTGCACCATGGTTGATGTACCGTCTCATTGGAAGTGAGATTCAGAGTTTTCACCCTTTCGTTATCAATTGTCAAGCAAACAAGTGTACGTTCACTGTTTCCCTACGACTTTCGTAGTGGGCTTCCACGGCGATGACGATGATAAGAAATTCCGTAGATATCTTCCCTACTCTAAACCCTTTCGTCTCCAGTAGCAAAATAACAACTACTAATCATTGTGACCAACCAACCTTTCGTCTCCAGTACAAGGCAAAGATCGAGTACGGACAAACTCACTCCTCCGAAGCTTGCTTCGCCCCAAAGCAATGGCTCCCCCAAGGGTTGTTTATAGAGTACATTGGGGAAGTTGAAAAGCGTTGCAAACGCAACAACCATTTACAAGATGATCAATCGATCTGTTAAGCACCGTGATCCTGTTGTGCGCTTGAGCGGCCGGATTCCCCAACCTTTCAATCCATCGAATCCAACTTTCATTCCGTTCGTATCGAGATCGTTGCTAGCTTTCCTATGGATACTGTAGATAGATGCGGTACGGAACTGGAACGAGTGGGAGACACGCAGATTGGGATTGTAACCAACGTAACCAACCCAATGGGATCAACTGTCCACAGGTCCCAGACCCGGCTTCCGTTCATTCACTTCATTCCGTCATCATCGTCAAATACCACATTGACAATGAACGCCACCACCACCACCACAAGTGCATTCCACAGGGAATGGAGCTGGTTCACAATCCACTCGTATTCGCAACGAAGAACTCGCAATAGTGTTGTTGTTGGAACAAAAGCTGCTGGGAATGCTGCCAGACAATTGATTGTGGTCCAACTTTAGAATCACCAAGTATTCGAGCAATGCCAGTTCGGAAGGAATACGGCCCGTCAATTTGTTCTGGTTCAAAGACAATTCTGCCAATGGTGCCAACAATCCAAGCTCGCTGGGAATGTGACTGGTCAAAAATGTGTTGTTGTCCAAGTAGAGAAACCTCAATTTTGTGAGCCATCCAATGGAGGTTGGAATGGAACCAGAGAAGTGGTTGTTGGACAAGGACAAGCCATGCAAACCGGATAATGATCCAATTTCCGAAGGAAGAGTGCCGGACAGTGTATTGTAGTTGAGTGCCAGTTTGGTCAATAGCGCCGATAGGGCTCCGATTTCCGAAGGAATGCTTCCAGACAACCGGTTCTTGTAGAGTTTTATTTCTGCCACATGAGTCAGTGCCCCAATCTCCGAGGGGATACTACTGGACAAGTGGTTGCTGTACATGTCCAATTTTGACAAATCCGTCAAAGCACCAATTTCAGTAGGGATATTCTTGGACAATTGGTTTTCACTCAAGTACAACCCCGTCAAGGCGGTTAGAGATCCCACTTCGGTGGGGATACGATTGGTGAGTTGGTTGCCCCACAAGGAGAGTGCTTGGAGCGCCGTGAGAGATGCAATAATGGTTGGAGGAATGCTGCCGGATAATTGATTGGCCCCCAAATCCAACGATGTCAGCTGAGTCAATAACCCCAGCTCGGTGACGATACTACCGGACAACTGGCCGAGTGCCAAGCTCAATGTTGACAAGGCTGTCAATGCCCCAAGTTCGGTTGGAATTCTATGGGACAACTTGCTAATCCCCAAGCCCAATCGAGTCAAACTTGTCAGCAGACCAATTTCCGAAGGAACACGGCCCGATAATAACTGGTTGCTGTGCAAGTACAAGTCTTGCAAAGCGGTCAGTAACCCAATTTCCGTAGGGATGGTGCCGTTGAGTCGTTCGTTGTCTTGCAAGATCAAGATCTTCAAATTGGAAGCCAGGAATCCAATTTCCGATGGAATGCTTCCGGATACTGTGGACATGTGAGTGAGTTCCAATTGGGTCAATTTTGTGAAAAGTCCAATTTCTGTGGGAATCGTCGTATTTCCGTTGCTATTATTGGGAGACTCATGACTTGTCCCTTGCGCCAATTGAATGACTGTCGTGTTGGAGACATCATATATTGTACCCAATAGCTCCACAGTCTGGTTGGATATTGGTTTGTCTGAAGCAGAAAATCCCACAAGGCCAATGACGACGACCAACAGAATCACCGTTGCTGCTACCCATACAGCCTTTCGTCGCAACGGGATCCCGCAGACACGGAGCATCATTGGTTCTCGGATCACGTCTTCTACATTCTCATCCAGGAACCCAACATTATGGATATTGTTGTTGTTGTTATCCGGGTTAAACACATCCTCATCATGGTACTCTTCAATGTTCAGTGGGTTCATCGAGATCTGTATTAGACTGGCTGCTATTAGCGCTATGTACTATGCGATTGTGACGCCTCGAGCCTCGAGCGGTTCTTCCACTATGCAATAATAACATAAATAAATATAGAGGGTATAAAGAATGCGGGGATCTAAGCTAGGAGAGATTTAGGGCAGGAATTGTTAAAGTTCCAATACCACTGCGACATTGACCCTTATATCCACCAGAAGCACGTCCCACCGAGCCAAGCCAACCAGCCTGACTGGCCGGCTCGTGGGACCATCACATAGATGTAGATCCGGCAGATCCCCAACGGTCATTTACCAATGACAACAGCCGTTCGGGGACAGCCACCAAAGCCAATAGCTCATAATTGTTCTTTCTAACCTCCAGTTAAACCCTTAGAGCTGTTGACTTCAATAGTTAGAAAGCAATTCTCAACCACCGGTTACCGACCAAGCCCGGTAATCCAGCTCTGATCTACATCAACCACCACCAACAGCCACACGCAACACTACCACCATGACGACCATCAAGTATGATCTTCATACACCCAGCACTCACCAGCATCACTGGACGCCCCACCCGCACGGCATCAAATGCCTAGAAAAAGAAAACAAAGATAATGCACGTCAGATCCATAGCCTCCGTAGTAATGGCAATGACGTTGGACAGGTTCAACGCAAGGCCTGCAGCAGCCGGAACGCCATGGGTCGACCCAGTCCATCCAGGAACACGCCCAAATGTCCCCGATAGAGCCACTGGACCCCAAGTCACGCACATGGTCTCAGCACACAAGTAAAACCTCAATGAATTCCAGCTCTTCCAGTCCACCGAAAAAGCCCTCCTATGGAAAACCATGGAAGCTGTTGAAGAGGTCTACTACAAGTCTCTCCAAGTCCCCGACGAAGACTACTCCACACACAGTTACAATGACCTCATTGTCCACCTCAACGAACAGTATGCAACCCTCACCAATGATGACCTTGACAACAACATCGACCGCATGAATGCCAAATGGACACCAACACAGCCCATCGAACAGCTCTTCCACCAGATCAACGATGCCCGCTCCTTCGCACGCGACCATGATGCCATCACTGAAAGAGACACCATCCGCTCTGCCCTTAAAAATCTGGAAAACAGCAGTTTCTTCACGTTAGCTCTCAAAGAATAGCGCAACAAAGCCGAAGATGACCATGGATCAACTTACAGACCTTCTTCGCCAAGGCCAATACCGAATGCCTCTGCTCCATCACAACCAAGCAAGCAGGCTTCCACGACCAGCATCAAGCCAACAATGCCAACACCAACAGCAGCCCATACTTCGTCAAAGACATGGCCGGCAACACCATGGCCTACTGCTGGACTCATGGAGTCCAATGGGACCTCATCCACACCAGCCTCACTTGTCGCAACCGCCACAAAGACCACAACGTTCGAAAAGGCAACACAGTTCAACATGCTTGGCGGACGCTGCCAAGTCAAACGCAAGGCCTGCGAAACCGCCATCTTCAAGTTCCAACCCAACAACAGTGGAACATGTCGTCCCAACACCCGCGACAGGAACACCGCCAACAGAGAGTGGATCCGAGTGCAGCAGGCCAGGATGTTATGCGGTCTCAAGGTAAAGCGAGCATTTATAGATCCATTGCTCTAGGACTCTTGGACTCAACTTGACTTCCACTCCATGGACTCGACCAGTCACTAGCTATACGGTAGGAAAATGCTATACTTTCACTTGTCAATCAGACGGTGCGAACGCAAGGTCGAGTGGAGGGAATCTTTTAGACGTCCGCAGTCGCGGCACCACCGTATATGGAGAGTATACGGGATTATGTCACGTTTTCCACTGGTTTTTGCTGTCCGGCGCATCGATTGATCGGCAATCTATCTTTGCGTAGCCCAAGCGGCTCTTGCTGCTCTGCTTGTAGGCGCCTCTCGGCTTTTCTTCATAGATCGTCGTCATCCGAAGAAGCCCACCAAAATCGGGAGAGGTATTAGAACCAAGAGCCTGATGGCCGGCATACCAGTATGCCGAACAATATATAGCTCAAGGGGATTACGGAAAGGGGACAGGCCAGAAAGCTGGAAGATTAGTAGATCCAGCCTTTTCGTAGCCTGGACTACAAAGTATTTTGCATCATCCCACGACACAATGTACCTGAATCCACCGTCATCCACCCGGCAATCAATTCTGGTTTTGTACCATTGTCTCCCTAGCTACCATTAAGAGTAGAAGCATGCAGCAAGAGAAAACAGCCGACCTTTTGGTGTTGCCATGCCATCCTAATACGTTCCATTGAGGCTTGTCACTGCCATTGTTGATCCTGGCCACAATGCGTGCTATTGCATATCTGTTGCTAACATTTAGAAATATGAACTATAACTACAGAGCTGTCGAGTTGGTCACCTCAATGGATCCATCTGCTCCAGCCAAAACGTCAACGGTGATTTCCGAAAATTCCTCCGTACCTACCAAAGAATACAACACTGTTTGGTTGGTGGCTGTCAGAGTGATCCACCCATGGGGTATGCCATCACCAAAACTGTCTGATACAATCAATCTGTAGACTGCGTCCCCATTGAACGGGAAGAGAGAGGAGTATACATGCTCTGCATCTTCCAGTGGACCACCTGATTCCAGTGTGCCCCAAATGCCAGTCACATTGGTTTCCTGCTGCCAGATCCACGATGTTTCCTCTGGATATTCATCAGTTTGGATATTCAGCATGACATCAGCACCACTGGTTGGAAACAACCCAGGCCAATCAACCGGAGCTTCTGTGAGACCAGCACAGGTGGAAACAGGGGGAGTTTCATTTAGGGAACAATTGCACCCCAGCAAAGAACACAGATGGTCTGGAACAGTTCCCGAGAACTGGTTCCCATACAGGCTCAATCCCATGGAAGCATTCAGTTGACTGGGCAGTGCTCCTGTCAGGTCATTGTTCTCAAGAGCTAGGGATGTCAGTGATGTCATCATGCTAACTTCTGTTGGGATTGTGCCAGAAAACTGATTGTCATTAAGGTAGAGCTCCCGCAACGAAGTCAGGAGCCAAATCTCCAAGGGAACTGGTCCAGTGAATTGATTGTCATTCAACCACATAAAGTCCAAAGCAGTCAATGCTCCAAGCTCAGAAGGAACTGGGCCTGTCAACTGATTATATTCAAGATATAGCTCTTCCAACAAGGCCAGTTGACCAACTTCTATAGCAGTTTGACCAGACAACTGATTTACATTCAAACTCAGCTGAAACAAATCTGTCAAAAGTCCAAGCTCCGAAGGCATTTGACTGGTAAGCTGATTCTGATTCAACTCTAACCAATTCAAAGCAGTCATCTCTCCAATCTCAGAAGGAACTGCACCGGACAACTGATTATCAGCAAGATGCAGCATATACACTGTCGTCAGGAGCCCAAGCTCTGAAGAAATCGGACCAAACAGCCGATTCCCAGCAAGCAAAGTTGCTTCCAGTGAGGTCATGAGCCCAAGCTCAGAAGGAATCAGGCCTGACAATTCATTGTATCCCGAGTTAAACCACTTCAAAGCAGTCAACTTTCCAACCTCAGAAGGCAGTGGACCGGACAACTGATTCCACTCAAGCTTAAGGGTATTCAATGAGGTCAAGAGCCCAAGCTCAGAAGGAATTCGACCTGTTAAGCGATTGCCAGGTAGCTCAAGATCGCCTAATGATGTCAAGAGGCCAAGCTCAGAAGGGATCAAATGACTCATCTGAGTATTACTCATGCAAAGCCTTTTCAATGAGGTCAGCAGCCCAAGCTCCGAAGATAGTGATCCAGTCAATTGATTATCAGACAAGTCTAAAGATGTCAAAGCGGTCATTTTGGAAAATTCTGCTTGGAAAAATGATGGGAAAGGCCCGGCAAAGTCATTGTAATTCAAATGGAGTCTGGACAAGGAAGTCATGAGGGTAGTCTCTCGGGGGAGAACTATACTAACACCAGAAAGTTGGAGGTCGCCAAGATTCAGTGAGGTATATTGTCCAAGTTCATCACATGGAGAGACTGGATGCCTCCACTCCCGGTATTGTCCATGGGGCGTGAAGTATCCAAACCCACTGGAGAACCAGTCACACTCTTCGACAGTATCATCCATCCATCCATGGCCTTTTATGAGAGGATTCCAATTGTCTCCCTCAAACGCATAGAAGAAAGTAGCGAGAGCAAACAACTGTTCCTTCCTCCATTCTGGAAGAAATGTGATATTTTGGTGATTGGCTAGCCAGTTCCATGCTCTCCACTGCGGAGTGTCGCTGCCATTATTGATGCTTGCCAAAGTGTAGTCTGGCAGGCTATCCAACAGCAAGTCCAGAGCTCCAGTCGGAGCAGAGGATGGGACTTCCGATGGAGTCATGGAACCATAACTAGTAGGACTTTCTGTTAAGGGCAAGACAACCGCCTCTGGTTCTCTTTGGTTTTGAGTTCTAACCACAGCTCCCACAGTGGCTGCTGCCACAATGAACAAGGAAACTGCCACAGCAATAAACACCAGCTTCTGTCTCTTCTTCTTTTGCTCTCTATCTTGGAGCTGTTGCATATCCACTGGATCTGCAGCTGGCATACTCTTCTCCTCATCTTCATCTTCCAGAACTAGATTTGCCACTGCCAGTTGTCGTTCGCTGATGGTGGGCAAGTCACCCCTTGTTTGAAGCAGTGTCGAGGAAGCTTCATCATCCATCTGCACCAATGGTTCACCCGGACCAGTGGTACTGGCACCCACCAGAGAGAATCGTATGTTATTGGCTCTTTGTAAGGCTTCTCCTGGTACACCCATATAGGCTCCTGGTCTCTGCTGGATTGGTTCTGATTGTACAATTGAATTTGAAGCATTTGCGATTTTTTCCATTTTGGCATTTTCGTTGAGTTCGGTTGCCATTTGCATGAGATCGTCGATGGCCGTGCTATTATTGTGGTCTTGGGAATTTGCAGCAACTGCAAATTTTTCCATTTTGGCAGTTTCATTGATTTCCGCTGCCATTTGGATGAGATCACTCATAGCTGTCATATCGTGTTCTTGTTCCAGATCTTTGCTCTCCTTCAACACTTGTGTTGTTGGCAATCCTTTGACAGGAATACCCCCAGCAGCGATAGCTGCCTCTTTCTTTGAGAAGAATGATAGCTGGCCGCTTTGTTGGGGTTTGCTGAACTGAGCTTTCATTATGCCTGAGTTTTTGTGTTCCTGCTTGATACCTTCGTCCTCCTTCAACATTAGCGCGGTTGACAAGCTGGCCTGATCTGCCACAATTTTCATGGTTTCTTCTTCAGCTGCGGCTTGATTGGCTTCTTCTGCAGCTTGATGCTGCTGTTTCTGTTTCTGCTGGTTAGCTGTTGGCTGGGGTTTAATGCTTCTACTGTCAGGGACTGCCGTTTTGACTGACTGTTTCTTGACAGCGTCTTCTTCTTCCTGAGTCCTTGCAACTGTGATTTCATGGTCTCGTTGGACTTGTAATGCTTCTGCCTCTGCTCTCTTGATCAGAGCATCCCTAACCGCTGGGCCGAGTTGATCGTCGTGACCGTTCGAGTTCTCGTCCTCGCTACCGTCCCCAACGTTCCGAGAATCCTCCATCCCATTCAAACCGTTGTGTTCTTCTGCTTTCATGGCGATCCCTGCTGTTGTGCTATTTGGCACGAAGTGCTATAACGGAGTTACTGGCTAGCTATAGCTAGTTGTGTCTTTCGAGAATAAAAGCGACGGTGATCGAGCTGCCGTAAGTCTTTCGAGAATGGAGGATATATTATTGTGGACGCTGCTCCTGTTGCTGCGGCTGAAGTTACGATAATAATATTTTTACTTGCTCCAAAGACTATACTACACAGGACCGTTCAAGTGTGACTGGACTGGACTTGACTCGACTGGATTTCACCCGACTTGGTCGACCTGGTCGACTTCCTTGGTCCTTGCAGTCGCACAATACTACAATTCATATGCCCCCTGGGTCGTCTCCGTTTCCATAAATCTTTTATTACCAACACCTAACTCCCTTTATTGAAACAGTATTCGCGCGCTCCGCGCGCTCATCCCTTTCAGCTTCGCCCCGAGCCTCGAAACTGCTCCCTCGTCATTCATGCAAAACATGTGAAGAACGCAAGGCGACTTTCATGTGCATGTACATGCGTTGACTGTATCCCGTCAATACAATACTAGTCGAATACGTAGACTTCTACAGAGGCCTCTAAGTAATGCACGCGGGGTATAATTCAAACCTCCACTCCCCAAAAGTACCCTTACCCCTAAAAGCAAATCGTCTCCGGGAGACGAAATAGTACTGTAGGCATAATCGACGCAATACTAGCTAGCTAGCATACTCGTCGCGCAATACTAGCTATAGCTAGCTACTATCATAGCTAGTATACCTAGAACTGTACCGATATCTCAAGTTCGACATCGATGAATGCATTCCTGCAGGCATCGCGTTTCCAAGCACGGGTGGAATGTCGATTCGTCGGTACCATTACTGAGTAGGTAGTTCACAGGAAATTTGAGGGAGGATGGTCGAGATCTACTCTGGTAGAAACAATTGCTGGAGGAAGGAGGAAGACAGCAGGTCACCTCTTCTGCATGAGGAGCGATAGAATTATTGAGGTGTTGTGGGGAAGATAGACTTTTTAATCTCAGTGCATGATTTCTATTCCTCTTTTGTGTGCAGCTGGTTGTCTACATAATCGACTTGTTCGTTGTTGCAATCACGCAGGTTCATCTAGCATGTAGCTTCAGCTTCAAGTTCGGGTCGAGTCTGCATGCATTCCAAGCATCGCGCTTCAGAGTACTAAGGGCAACGCGGCAGGAGCCAGATGTCGACAGCAGCAAGATCACCTCTTGCTTCTGGATGAGGGTAGAATTATCGATCCCTGACCATGATTAACTGCTCCTCTTTTGGTTGAGATGCAATGGTACATAATGCTGGGTCTTGATTGTCCCTTCTGTAGCGATTAAATAACTCAGCATGCTTGTCTTGGAGGTTCACTTTTATCATGTACCGGTGGGCCGGCAGTCACGGGCATGTAGGTACCGGTACGGTGGACTGTCTTCCTAGCTAGTAGTTGTAAGGTACGCTACGCTACGGAATCTATGGGTTGATCACCAAAGATCCGGAACATAGATATGGGTTGACACCAAGGATCCAAACAACCCAAAGCAGGAGCTTCTCCACAACCAAAGAGTTGGCTTGATACACTCTTAGAGTGGATCAAGACAACGAACAATGGCTCTGGCTAGCTAGCTCAAGGTTGGGGACTCTCGTCTGTCTGTCATCCGTCTTGGCCAGAGCTAGCCAGCTATCCACAGTCCAGTTTCTCACATCCATCGTTTCTCACAAATTCTCACAGCCGAGAAAGCAAAAGCAAAGTAAAAACAACTATACTTTACCAGTACCTATTTCCAACCCGAGCCTTCAGTCACTTTTTTGAAACTACAATCATGGGCCGGAAGAACCAGAAACAGCAAAAGATCAACTACTTGGTCAACGTGGTGACCGGTGAATTCAAGTCGATTGGAGGATCTACTGAGCATCCTGATCCGGAAGAAGAACAAAGTTTGGCAAGGACTACCAGGCTACTCGATTCACTGAGGACGAGTTACCCCCGGCGGTGGATATGCGCCCCTTCATGACACCCGTGGAAGATCAAGCCCGTGCCATGTCCTGTGTGGCCAATGCCGTTGTGGGTGGCTACGAGTACATTATGAAACGCAACGGCGTGGAAATTGATTTTTCCCGCCTCTTTGTCTATTACAATGCCCGTGTCAAGGCCAAGGAAGCGGAGGCAGCAGCTGCAGCCAAGGTGGATCCTTGCCAGGATGCTCCAACCGATAGTGAGGACTCAGATGACGATGAAGAAGACGATGCCCAGGAAACTGTCAAACTCACCGTGGAAGACGTCGGTTCGTGTGTTGGCTTGTCCATGCAATATCTTGTGGAACTGGGAGTCTGCCGCGAAAAACTTGGAAGTACGAAGTCTCCAGATTGTCGATGAACCATTTGGTCCCGACTTTCTTGCCGGCTACGATGCCCCCCAAGATGTCCAAATTTTTAGCTTGGAGGAAGCCATTGTGTCCTTGTGCTTGATCGGGTCCGCCGTGGATGGATACGACCAAGTCGAATCCGATGCTGTGGACAGTCTGTTTCCCCTCTATGGCTTGAGTGTCGACGAATGGCTAAAAAAATTCATGGCCCTCAAAAACTCGCAGGGATTTGACGCTTGTCGTGCCGCGTCCGTTGCCATTATCTTGGCGCACAAACTCGTGGTGCTGATGCCTTTCGTATTACGGCTGACTTTGCCTTTTTGGATGGCAAGCTGACGCATGAAGAGTTTGACTACTGGAAGCAACTGGGCGAAGAGCTCCACTTGTCCGATGAGTTTGTGTCCAACGTGTTTGCCACGCTTTTGCAGGAAAAACCCGACACCATCTCCTTGGCATTGCCAGCGCCACTCCGGCTCCATTCTCGTGGTGTGGCCGTGGATCAGCTCCAGCAGCGCTTGGTGGATCTGGGATACAATGTCCAGGTCAAGGGCTTCTTTGGAAAGCCCACCCGACGAGCCGTTCGCAAATTCCAAAAGGACAAGGGCCTCAAACAGGACAGCATCGTTGGACAGAAACGTGGGATGCTCTCTTTGCTTGAGGAGGCGATCCTGATGAGAGAACTTGGCTGGCTGATTCCCTGTGACTTCGTATCCCCCTTCGTACGTGTACCGGCGTGTCTGTGAATTCGAATTCGTGGACCCAAATGCATGACGTTTTAATGATCTTCACTTTACAGTAGCCCCGAGAATATAGTGTCTTAACCAATAGTGAAAGTGTTTCAACAGAACGCGACGCTTCCTTCTGCCGTTCCCGACAATAGCCGCTCGTCCCGACCTCTTCAGACAGGACTCACTTGCTAGTAGCTAGTATAGGTACCGGTATGGTGCGCTTTTGACGTGCCCGAGTCGGAGACTCATAGCTAGCCTTTGCCTTTGCCTTCCAGAACCGAGTCGGCAGTCCCACGCATCCCACCCCACCCCACAACTAGTAATAAGCTCACTCGGTGTGCCACCGAATTCAATGCTACGGCACCGGCACACTACTAGGCACGAGCAACCTACGCATGTAGCTACTTTGGCTCCACCCCCCTATCGGGCCTCACCGAGTGTGCTGTGACGAATCCAGAGCGCTAGCCATACAGCACAACCCATCCAACGTCTTCTGATACTGTACCCAAACCGCACTTGATTCCATTTGAAGGGTGGCGCATCGCCAATGGATCTGTGCACTTCTGCGTAAAGAGCGAAGACGGTAGGATGGCGCGAACGCACCTGCAGCTTGGCCTGTGAGACCTGGTTTGGAAAGCTTTAAATCCTTTTTGTCTTATTGGTACCCCTGACACGATCCCTTTAAATCCTTTCAAACTTGCATTTCGCCCACAATTGACCGTTGGGCGACCCTCTGTTTTGGGTCCATGCATGGCCAAGCTGTGGGCTGCCACAATTCGGACAAAGAGCAAAAGCAAAACCCTCCCCAGACTGAACTACTTCAGCCAACGAGAACAAAAGCCATGAGTAACGCCACCAAAGACACGATGCCCAAAGAAGCTACACCTGTGGAGAAGGAAGCCAAAGAGAAATCATCAGCCAAAGAGAAACAAGAAATCCAAAAGGATTCCGAAAACGTTGATTCTGCTTTCATTGCTCTTACTGGAATTGAAGCTCGGTATGAAGATATCCAACAAAGTGGCCAGCTAGAATTCCTACCAAAGCAATCAAAAGGAACGCCTTCCACTGTAAATCACAACCCCAATGCCCGGCATGAAGAGACCCAAAGTAGTGGCCGGCTAAGATTTTTTGCCCCCAAATCATCCCAAAAGCAACACACGGGACAAGCAGCAAGTGGCGGGACAATGCCAGTTTCCCGTGAAATTGAGCCAACCATGGTTGCCACAGCATGCCTTTCTTCACCAAACCAGCAACAACCACAGCTTGCTCAACCTGGAGCATACAGAAATGTTCCTGGGGAGTCCTCGCATCGCACTGCAGCAGTCAACTATGGCCTCCTTGGTGCCGCTGAAGCTTCCTCGGGTACCACACTTCCAACGTTCACACAGTCAGGACTAGAACCTACTGGTTCCAAAAATAATCAACTTCCACAGGCAAACTTGGTCCTTGAAGATCCAGAAGACCACACGCGGCCATCAGCAGATCCAGTTGATCAACAACAGGTTCAGCAGAGAGAGCAAAAGAAGAAGAGACAGAGGAACTTGTTTCTTGTGATGGCAATTCTACTGTTCATTTTAGCTGCAATCATTGTGGGATCGGTGATTGGAACCCAGCAGGAAAGCGAGCCAGAGGTGATTGTCTTACCATCGACAGGAAGTCCAACTATCTTTGGTTCCATGGAGACATCAGAAGTGCCATCCTCTGCTCCCACTGGAGTTCTAGACCTGTTGTTGGATAGCCTTCCAGAGTACACTGTGGCAAGCAAGATCAATGGCAGTCACACACCTCAATGGAAAGCATGGCAATGGGTAGCCAATCACCAAAATATCACTTTTCTTCCAGAATGGAGGAAGGTGCAGCTGTTTGCTCTTGCTGCCTTCTTCTACTCCTTTGAAGGAGAGAACTGGTGGCAGCCAATTCAAGACAGATGGATGGATGACACAGTAGATGAGTGTGAATGGTTCTCCAGTGCATTTGGATACTTCACGCCATGGGATGGAAAATATCATCCACACTCAAATCCAGTGCTTCCATGCAATGGGCATGGGCAGCTCACCTCTCTGGATCTTGAAAATCTTGGGCTTTTAGGTCTTACACCTAAAATTCCACGAGAAATTTCCCTCCTGGCTTCCTTGTCCACCATTCAATTTTATCAATGCGACCTTGGAGTACCAAATTCTCATCTCTTACCAACAGAGCTTTATGAGATCACTGGTTTGAAGAGTTTGTCCTTGTTCGCCAATCAGGTGTCCGGCAAGATTCCTTCGGAGCTTTTGCTCCTGACCTCACTCGAAACTCTTGTCCTGTCTGGTAATCAGCTGACTGGTCCAGTTCCTTCCGAGCTTGGCCATCTGACCTCATTGACCGAACTTTCTCTATTTCTCAATCAGATTTCGGGTCCAATTCCTTCCGAGCTTGGGCTCCTGACCTCATTGGAGAGGCTTGGGCTTCTTGATAACCAGATGACCAGTTCTATTCCTTCTGAGCTTAGCCTCCTAACCTCATTGGACAGTCTTGACCTATCTGGAAATCAGTTGTCTAATGCAGTTCCTTCCGAGCTTGGGCTTATGACCTCGTTATACGACCTCAACCTTTTTGAGAATCAGTTGAGCGGACAAGTTCCTTCTGAGTTTGGACTCTTGACCTTATTGAACGACCTGAACCTTTATCAGAACCATTTTAGCGGTCAAGTTCCTTCCGAGCTTGGGCTCCTAACCTCATGGTTGCATGAGCTTGACCTGCATGAAAATCAGTTCACCGGTCCAGTTCCTTCAGAGCTTTGGCTCCTGACCTCATTGCGGGAGCTTCACCTAAATGACAATCACCTTGTGAGCACAATCCCAACAGAAGTTGGCATGATGACATCAATGACATCCCTGGATCTTCACAACAACATCCTGACAGGAACAGTTCCTAACCAGCTGGATGCGTCCATGCGGCTGAGACTAGGTGGGAATGAGTTCTCAGGGACGGTTCCAAACCATATTTGTTCCTTTCTGAATTGTGATTGTGGGGCAAGTGTGACTCTGGTATCTACATGTGCTGACCTCAAAGATGCCCCACCTGATTGGCCTGGACGATTTCCAACCATTCCTGGATCATTTATGCTCAATATTCAAACTGATGAATATCCAGAAGAAACATCATGGGTTTGGCAGAAGGAAGCCAATGTGACCGGTCTTTGGGACACGCTGGATGGCTCTGGTGGTCCGCTTGTATTCCCTGATCATCTTTACTCCTCTCTGCTGCCAATTCACCCCAACGCATGGTACAGACTGGTTGTATCCGACAGTAATGGTGATGCCATCACACACCCTGGGTGGATGACCCTGGCAACCAATGAATTCCTGATCTTTTCATCCCGCAGCGGCTATGTCTTCTTTGAATTCGCCTTGACAATTTTCCAGGACGGAGCTGATGGGCCTTACGTTTTGGACTTGTCCATCACATGATCAATCCAGTGTTTGGTGCCTACATAACTCTTTGCAATGCGTCTTATTAAATCTCTTATTTCTGCAGCTGCGGCTAGACACCGCAGCATCCCCAACTATAGATCTCTAGCTAGCTAATGTTCTCTATGCTCTGCAACTCTGTCTGCAGTTTCATGGCAACTTCAAGTGAACGTCCGATACCATTTGCTCGTGTTAGCTGCCTATAGATACAGCTAGCCATGACAGCGGTACCTACTACTAGCTAGCTAGCCAGCTACAATGCAACCAATGCAACACAAATCACGATACAGGAATTGCGGGAGAGCCCCCCACAGCAGCAGAGGACGTGCCGCAACCTGCCTTTCGCCGAACAACCCAGTTGCGTCCACAATCTCAGCCAGGTGCATTCCTGGGTACACCAGGACGGCAGATGCAACGAAACCCGGACTTAAACTATGGCCTTGTTGGTGCTAATTCGGGCACTGACAGTGGCCCCGGAGATTCCCGTGTTGGTGCTGCACGGATATCGACAAATGATGGGTTGGTGCAGGCTAATGCCGTAGAGGATGATACGGCCGAGTTGATGCATGCCAATCCGGTTGATCTGGAAGCCGCCCAAAATGGTGTACTCGAAAGGAAGCAGCAACAGAAAACTTTCTTGGCAGCAGTTCTTTGGCTGTTGCTGGTTGTTGCCATTATCGTGGGATTCGTGGTGGGAACCCAAAAGAACAAGGAGCCGAATGTGGCGGCCCTTGAGTCAACGGAGGCTCCAACCGTTTATGGCTCCATGGAACCTTCAGAAGGGCCATCTTCCGCCCCATAGCCTACCAGACTACACTTTGTCAAGCATGAACAATGGCAGTGATACCCCTCAGTGGAGAGCATGGAACTGGCTAGCCAATCACCAAAATGTCACCTTTCTTCCAGAATGGAGAAATATACAGCTGTTTGCTCTGGCTACTTTCTTTTACTCCTTTGAAGGAGACAATTGGAATCCTTTAATCAAGGCTCATGGGTGGATGGATGACACTGTAGAAGAGTGTCTCTGGTTCTCCAGTGGGTTTGGTTTCTTTTTCAACTCTATGTACCTTAGTTTGCAAGCAATTGGTGAACCATTTACACTTCCCTGCAACGCCCAAGGACAATTCACATCTCTGGATCTGCAAAGGCTGCAGCCCTCTGGTCTTTCAGCATCTATTCCACCCGAGATTGCGCTCTTGTCTTCCTTGTTTCATGTGTCTTTTAATGACTTATGGAGAAATGTCATGTCTGGACCAATTTCATCTCTGTTACCAACAGAACTTTATGAGATGACTGGTTTCGATCACAGGCAAAATTCGCTCGGATATTTCACTATTGACTTCTTTGTCCTATCTATACTTGGGATTTAATGAGTTGCCAGGCCAAATTCCTTCTGAGATTTCACTAGTGACATCCTTGACCGGGCTTCACTTGGATTCGAATGATTTGACCGGTCCAGTTCCTTCTGAGCTTGGGCTCTGACCTCATTGGAAGACCTTAAGCTATGTGTTATATATCTCTTCAAAAATAATGAATGAATGTCTAGTTTTTAAAATTAACGGATTCAGACAAGAAGGGCCCAACACAACGCCGTGGGTTCGATAGCTGGAAGTGGCTGGACGTATCAGGTTCCACTCTGATTAGCTATTTCTTGTCTACTTGGACCGCAACTCTCGTCTCAACAACGGGAGTATGGAATATTCAGAACTTGTTGATCGATGGATGGATGGATGGCAGTCATGATCGAATTTTTGTTTTCGTCTATCTACTTTATCCCATGGCTCGCGCAATGTCGATATCTCCCGTGACCAAGACATCGGAAATGCATCCTTGTTGTCGTTGAGGATCGGTCCAATGTGCGCAGGCCTCTTGCGCTTGTTTCTTGGACACGCCCTTACTACTACTGGCACTCGTTCCTTTCAATCGTTGTGGTGGTGGCAGACGACACGATTCCTCTGGATACTGCGGTCCATCAAGTGCTCGAAAGAGCGTCTTTTCTTCTTCGTTGCCAGGAACATCGATATCGGGACGGACTTGCCATTCCTGTCCAAACACCGTGATATCGTTTGACAAATCGGTAGTGCCATCGCGGGCCATCATGTCACCTCGAAAATTGCCCATTAATCCCAACGTCGATCCAAAATGAAACCGCGTCGCACCCGTAAAGCGAACAAAGACCATGTCTTTGAAACTGCCCATGGTAATGTTGGAATCTTGACTCAGAACAATATCCACAATGGTATGATTCTCTTGCGGTTGTCGATGATAGATTGGAAACGTGTCGCTAGTGCTGCCCATGCGTTTGGATCCTTCGAGCCGTGGTGTGTCGACGCCATTGACGGCATAGTTGCCCCAACTGGCGACTTCGAGAGTATCATTGCCAATCCGGAGCGCGGCCGCATGAATGTAACTGTAGTCGTATCGAATTTTGGTCCGAATGTGCAAGTCGAGGGCTTGATGCGGTGTGAACTGCGGAACATGGGCCATGACCAGGTCGCACTCGCCTGCGATAGAACACGTAACGGTGGCATTGACAAACGTTAGCACACTTGCTCGCAATCTGGGTATCGTCATTGGTGCAGTCCCACTTGTCAGCTTCGTACCTTGATAATCGAACCAACGGCCATTGAATTTCTGAATGTGAGGATCGGCTTCTCCACCAGATCGCACACTTTCGCAGCCTCCACTATTATGATTTCTAAAATAGGCATATCCCTTGGGTTGACACATTTCGGGGAGCAGGGATCCTCGACAAGTTTCATCGTTGCAATCCGCCGTGTAACAGCACGATCCGTACCGCGCGAGTTCGTGACACGCATTGCCATTGTAAAAATCTCGAAAGTACGGTAGATTCATTCCCTGCGCTACCATGGCCCGACAACTCGAGACGGTTTCCAACGGGTAACACATTCCGCCGTTGGGATTGCAATCGGATGTCATGCAGCATTCTCCCAGCAGCTCATTGGTGGGGATGTAGACGCACATGGTTCCACCAGTCTCATCTACGCCATTCAAGTACTTGCGAAAGTAAGGCAGGGGAAATTGGGGATCTTGGCAGACTGTCATTTCCACATTCTGACGGTAACACTGCGATTGGCCCACCACGTTGGAACAGCTAGCATCCGTACAGCAATCGCCGCGGTCGGCTTGAGCGTTGGTTACTACTAACAACAGTAGCAGCAGCAGAGGCAGCAGCAGCAATGTTCGTTGGCCGTTCATCTTCATCATCATCGTCATCTTTATCATTGGCTTGCTTTTACGAGGATAGAAGACGGAGAAAAATGAGCCCAAGCAAAAGGAGCTGCAAAAGGTATTGATGACGCTTGCCAGCATTGGGATTTACACGGTTTTAATATAGGAAGGTCACTTTTTTGGTGCGTTATCAATTGTGATCACTCGTGAACAGTAAAAGACACGAACGCTAAGTAAAACTCTAAAAAGAGGTCAGATAGTACAGCAAGTGAACTGCAATACCCTTCTTTAATCCTCATAGTCAAGGCAACATCACGTGACTACTAGATTCTTCACCTAGTCAAATCAAGTCGCCTTTCTGCATCGGTGCTCGTGATGATTAATGCATTTGCGATTCATGGCACCCGTGATTTGATCCAAGGATGATGGCATTAAATCTCTAAAAGACCACATGTTCGTTTTGTTCCAAGCTACGGACACTCACGGATTTAGAAACAGTGCATCTAGTGAAGGCGGGATCGAACCGGAACATATCCCAAAAGAACCGGTATCATTTCAGAAGCCAGCGGCGCTGTCAAGGAATCATCTAAATGCAGGTGTTTGATGCGCCTGGACTCCACGAGTACTCCACTACTCTGTTAGATTAGTCAGTCTATGGATGCATGATCGTCTCCATGCATGGTTATTCAGCCCAATGGGTATCAAATCACAGCGTCCAGAGCTGGGCAAAGATGCAAGTGAGTTGACTTTCTCCAAAGTTAGCTAGCTAGCTAGCTGCTAGCTAGCTAGCTCTCACTATCTCCAACCTAAGAAGTGCTTCCATATATTATACATAATATTTACATGATGATGCCCTTCTAGCTAAAGATGACGGCAGCACAATGAAACAGTACATACATGTAGTTAGTTAGTTCTTTTACCTATAGAAAAATGTAGCATAGAATCACAAGGTAGAATCCGTCACATCAAAAGATCCATCTGCTCCGACCAAAACGTCAACGGTGATTTCAGAAAATTCCTCTGCGCCTACCAAAGAATACAACACTGTTTGGTTGGTGGCTGTCACAGTGATCCAGCCAGAGGGTATGCCATCGCCAAAACTGTCTGACACAATCAATCTGTAGGCTGTGCCCGAATTGACCAGGAAGAGAGAGGAGTAAAGATAATATCCAATGCCCAGTGGACCACCCGATTCCAGTGTGTCCCAAATACCAGTCACATTCGTTTCCTTCTGCCAAATCCATGATGTTTCCTCCGGATATTCATCAGTTTGGATATTGAGCATGACATCGGCACCACTGGTTGGAAACAACCCAGGCCAATCAACCGGAGCTTCTTTGAGGCGTGCACAAGTGGAAACAGGGGGCGTTTCATTTAAGGAACAATCACACCGTAGAAAAGAACAAAGATGGTCTGGAACAGTTCCCGAGAACTGGTTCCCATACAGGCTCAATCCCATGGAAGCATTCAGTTGGCTGGGCAGTGTTCCTGCCAGGCTGTTGTTGTGAAGAGCAAGAGACCACAGTGATGTCATTATGCCAACTTCTGTTGGGATTGTGCTGGAAAACTGATTGTCATTTAGGTGAAGCTCCCACAACCACGTCAGGAGCCAAAGCTCAATGGGAACCGGGCCAGTGAATTGATTGTCATTCAACCATATATATTCCAAAGCAGTCAATGCTCCAAGCACAGAAGGAACTGGACCGGTCAGCTGATTATATTGAAGATCGATGTGCTCCAATGAGATCATGAGCCCAAGCTCCGAAGGCAATGGACCGGTAAACTGATTAGTATGAAGGTCAAGAAATTCCAGTGAGGTCAGGAGCCCAAACTCCGAGAGGATCTGTCCAGTGAACTGATTGTCATTTATCCCCAAGATACTTAAAGCAGTACAGGCACCAATCTCAAAAGGAAGTGGACCGGAGAACTGATTCTGAGCAATGGAAAGAGAAACCAGTGAGGTCAGGAGCCCAAGATCAGAAGGAACTGGACCCGTCAACTGATTGAAATCAACATGAAGCGTATCCAATGAAGTCAGGAGCCCAAGCTCTGTAGAAATTGGACCAGACAGCTTGTTGAAATCAACTCGAAGTTGTTTCAATGAGGTCAGGAGCCAAAGTTCCGAAGGCATGTTGCCGGTCAACTGGTTGCTAGATGAGTCAAAATGATCCATTGAGGTCAAAAGACCAAGCTCCGAAGGCAGTAGACCAGTGAACTGATTGCCTAGAAAGATGATGTACTCCAATGAGGTCAGGATCCCAAGCTCTGAAGGCAGTGGACCGGTAAACTGATTAAAAGGAAGGTGAAGTGCGGTCAGTGATGTCAGGAGCCAAAGCTCAGAGGGGACTAGACCCGACAATTGATTCAGTCCCAGGTGAAGGTAGGACAATGAAGTCAACAGTGAAATCTCAAAGGGAATATTGCCAGTGAACCGATTATCATACAAACTCAAGCTTGTCAATCCAGTCATCTCATAAAGTTCCGTCGGTAAAAGAGATGAAATGGGTCCAGCAATGTCATTCGTCGAGAAGGCTACATGAGACAAGGAAGTCAAGAGGGCAATCTCGGGTGGAATAAATGGGGAAAGGCCAGAGAGCTGCAATTTTTGCAGAAACAGAAATGTAAACTGTCCTTGGCTGTTGCAGGGGGTGCCTCTAACATCTTGCCATTCTTTCCATTCGTAGTAAATTCCATTTAAAAAAAATCCAAACCCACTGGAGAACCACAGGCACTCATGCTTGGTATCATCCATCCAGCGCTCTTTTATGAGAGGATTCCAATTTTCACCCTGAAACGCATAGAAAAAAGTAGCGAGAGCAAACAGCTGTGTCTTTCTCCATTCTGGAAGAAAGGTAATGTTTTGGTGATTGGCTAGCCACCACCATGCTCTCCACTGTGGAGTCTCACTGCCATTGTTGATGCTTGCCAAAGTGTAGTCCGGTAGGCTATCCAACAGCACATCCAGAGCTCCAGTGGGGGCAGATGATGGCACGTCCGAGGGTTCCATGGAGCCGTAAACTGTGGGAGCCTCCGTTGACACGAGGACCACCACTTTTGGATCCTTCTTATTTTGGGATCCCACCACGAATCCCACAATAATGGCCGCAACCAGCAACAACCAAAGAACTGCTGCTAAGAAGTTATTCTGTTGCTGCTTCCTTTGGAGTGCCCGTTGCTGGGCAGCTTCTTCCAGATCAACCGGATTGGCACGCATCAGATCAGTGGCATCATTCTCTACCGCATTAGCCCGTACCAACCCTTCATTTGTTGATATCTGTACTGTGTTACCAACATTCAAACCTTCTGGACCACCATCAGTACCAGAATGAGCCCCAAGAAGACCGTAGTTCAAGTTGGGGTTTCGTTGCATTTGTTGCCCTGGTGCACCCATGAATGCACCTGGCTGAGATTGTGGATTCATCTGGTTTGTTTGGTCTGCAGCAATTTGTGGGAGAGCGTCTCCTCCTGCGGTATTTTGTGCATCGTCATTTGTGTGGCCTGGCGTTGCCTTAGTGTTAGTGGTGCCTTGGGCTTGGGCAGCTTGGGCCTCGGCTCTTTGTTTAATGAGATCATCCTTAAGGAGAAAATCTTCTCTTTCTCGGTGGCCTGGCGTTGCCTTAGTGTTAGTGGTGCCTTGGGCTTGGGCAGCTTGGGCCTCGGCTCTTTGTTTAATGAGATCATCCTTAAGGAGAAAATCTTCTCTTTCTCGGTGGCCTGGCGTTGCCTTAGTGTTAGTGGTGCCTTGGGCTTGGGCAGCTTGGGCCTCGGCTCTTTGTTTAATGAGCTCATCCTTAAGGAGAAAATCTTCTCTTTCTCGGTGGCCTGGCGTTGCCTTAGTGTTAGTGGTGCCTTGGGCTTGGGCAGCTTGGGCCTCGGCTCTTTGATTAATGAGCTCATCCTTAAGGAGAAAATCCCGTACCACTGGGTCGAGTGCACCATCGTTCCCGTCACCACTGCCAGGAGATGCCGTGCCCACTTCTACTTCTGTGCCATCTGTGCTACCAGCTATTTCTTCTTCTTCCTTCATGGTACGGTGATCTAGTATAATAGCTTGCTAGGTATAGTTGGCTTGCTAGATAGATGGATGGATGGATGGATAGGAATGACTGCTATCTACTTAGTATTTGTTCTCTCTCATCGTCTCGACAATTGTCCTCTGCTTATTTTTACGCTTGCTTTTTCCATTTGTTCTGGCTTTTCGTTTTTTCGGCTGGACAGCAATGTAAATCGAACAAAAGCAACACAAGTTTTCCCGTTGGCTTTAAAGTCAGCTTGCTGGCCCGCTTATTTTTTATGCCTGCTTTTTTTCTTTTATGTTTAGATTTTCCTTTTTTCAGCTGTACAGCAATGTAAATCGAACAAAATCAACACGGTCACAGCGGTTTATTGTTTGGCTGCATGCTGGCTACATGCATGCATGGGTCAAATGACTGTTTTGGCTTAAGAATAGTCAGCAAGGCGGCTTGCAGACACAGCGGGATGTTCTGGTATAGCCATGAGATCTAACGGAGGGATTATGTGCAATCATGGGAAATGCTGATCGGGAAGGCACGAGCGATACACAATCGATGCGTGCCACTCTCTGTGAAGTACCAGTACCTTATGAGAGACGAATCGAATCGAATCAATCAAGCTGACGAGGTAGGCCACACACAGCCCGGTCTCGTTGCACAGAGTGTAAATTCGCACGTGGTAGCTATCTACTATAGCTCTAGCTTGAGCTACCGGCATGCATACCTTAGTCTGTTTTGTGTTTGGACTGCATGCACTGAGGCCCGCCAATGAGCGAAGAGGGTGGTACCGGTATACCGTAGTGTGATACTATAAATCGTCAGACTCCAATCCAGATGCCATTGCTGATTGGTATGCCTAACAGGAACGTTCCTGTGGTCCTCTTTGCCAAAAATCGAACCTTTCAGTCTACTACTGCTTTGCACGGCAAACAAAGGATAAGCACCAGTGGGCAGGCACTGATAGACAAGTGAGGAGAGTCTATTAGTTTAGTTTGATAGTTCCCAGGTGACAGA